TATGTGTGTGTATGTGTGTGTGGTGTGTTTGTGTGTGTATAAATGGACCTCCTAAGGAGGTCAGAGGTCAACACGTGGCGTCATCCTCAATCTCTCTCCGCCTTATTTTTAAAACAGAATCTTTCCCTGAGCCTGGGGCTTCGTGATTGGCTAGATTGCTGGGTGTGAGAATCAGTGCTGCTCCTGTACCCAACGTTCCAGGATTTTCTTGATTAGTTAAACTAAAGACCTAAGGTTTTGATTTATCATATCAAGGATTACCTCCGTTTCGTTCTTCCTTCTGTTGTTTTATTCTCTACTTTGTTTTATTTTTTGCTCTGCTGTTTGTTATTTCTTTCCTTCTCTTACTTTTCTAGTTCCCTGCATTGCAGCATGAAGTTGATCATTCACAATTTATTTTCTTGACGTAGGCATGTTGCCCTACGCTCCCGTCTAAGGGTCAGTTTTGCTGTAGCTCATAGGTTTGGGTATGTATCAGTGTCATTTGCATTAAGATTGTTGCACAGAAACAGCAGCTACTAGGTGGACTGTACCGTTAACCTCTCTTCAATTTGCTTCGTTTATAGTGCTGATGAACTGCTGTTGACTTTCTGTCTCAATGATCTGTCTATTGATGAAAGTGGTGGCGGTAAAGGCCCCGATTATTACTGAATTAAAATCTGTTTTTCCAGTTATATCTGTGGTCTTGCTTTACATAATTCATGTTCTTGTGTTAAGTGTGTACATATTTACAATTTTTCCTCTTGTTGAATTGATCCATTTATCATTAGGTGGTGACTTTCTTCATCCCTTTCTACAGACTTTAATTACTATCTGTTTTATGTGACGTAAGTGTAAGTGTTCCTGCTTGCGTTGGGGTTCTTCTTCCGTGTCTTTTTCCATCCTGTCACTGTTGGTTTATGTGTGTCTTCAGTGGTGAAATGAGTTTATTGTAGAGAGTGTATCACTGGGATTTGGGATTAGTTCATTCAGGCAATCTATAGTTTTTGAATATGAGTGTTTTTCTATTACATGTTTTGCTGGTCATTTGTATGACCTCTGTTCCTTTTTTATTGTTTATTGCTGTGGTTTAATGGTTTTTCTATTCTGATAGTTTTCTCTTTTTCCTCTTTGTGCATCTGCTCTGCTAATTGAGTTCTACATTTCCAGATGTCTTCATAATGAAGTTATCTTCTGTCACCTCGATGTAGAAGTCCTATAAGCATCCTTTTAAGTGTATTTTGTCAGTGATGAATTCCCTGCTTTTTCTTATCTTGGACTTTATTTCTTTGTCACCTCTGAAGGATACCTTTGCTCGGTATAATATTCTTTGTTGGTAATACTTTTCTTTCAGAATTTGGAATATATCACCCTATTCTCTACTGCTCTGTATGGTTTCTATTAAGAAACCTGCCATTGGTATACTAAAGATTTCCTTATGTATAACTTGATGTATTTCTTTTGTCATTTTTAAATTTTCTATCTTGTATTTATTTATTATTTATGTTGTGCACATGTGTATGTGGTTATGTCTGTGCCGCAGTGTATGGGTGGAGGTCAGAGCACAGTGTGCAGGACTTGTTTCTCTCTTTCCACTTATGTAGATTTTAGGTATTGAACTCAGGTTTGACAGCAAGTACCCCTGCTGCTGAGCCATCTCACAAGGCCTCTCTTGTACTTTTAACAGGCTGTAATATGTCAAGAGGGTCTTTCTCGGCTGGCTCTGTTAGAGTTTATTGAGCTTCTCAGACATAGATATCTATATCTTTCCCAAGGTTTTTAAAGTCTTTGGAGGCTATTTTGTTGACTGTGTTTACTATGTCTTTCCTAAGTTGTTATTCTAAAACAAAATGCAAAATCTTAACTCAGTTATGCTTTGTATAAGTTTCATAGGCTTTCTTCATGCATTTTTATTTTTCTTTATTTTTTTTACATTGGATTATTTTAAAAAGCATGAACTCTTTATGCTCATAAGCTTTCTCTTCTGCCTGCTCACTGGTATTTCATTGACATTTGTTAGGTTCTTTATCTTCAAGAATATTGCTTAGGTCTTTTAGGCTCTGTATCTTCTTGCTCAATGTCTCATTCACATCATCTACTAGTTCTTAATTTCATTGGATTGTCTGCTTGCATTGTTTTATAACTTTAAACATTTCTTAAAAATCAGGTAATTCACTGATTTCCTTTCCATTAGTGAGGTGTGTCTGATGCTAGAGTGTAGCTTTAGAGGTGTCATATTACCTTGTTTTTCATGTATTTAGTGACTGACATTTGTGCATTTTCAGGGAGTCAGTTTCTCTCTCCCAGTTTTATAGACTGGCTTTTACAGTAAAAGGCTTTCTCCAGATGATACATCACACAGTATTGATTGGATAGATGGACTGCATTGAGTTGCATGGTACTCTAGTGCAGTCTTTCTGTAGATTCCCCAGCTGTTATAAATGTTGGTGATATCTTAGTGACATAGGCTATAGGAGTTGTGGGATTACAAATTTTCAGATATCTCTCTCAGGCAGGACAAGATTGCTGGCACTCCTGAGTATAGTTCAGAGGATGTGGAATGGGCTATCAGTTTCTACAGATGATACGAGAACAGGGTTACCCCATAGGCCTGGGTAGGCATGGCATAGCATGCTCACCAGTAGGGAGGGTGCTATCCATGTCTGAAGCTTTCCTGGGGGCTGGGGTATAAGCAAGCATAGATGTCGTACCTTCTGAGGTAGGCATGACAACTAATTCTGAGAGGCTGCGGAAGGATGTCCAGGTCCACTTAGAGTCTTAGGAATAGCTTCTATCCCTAACAAACATACTTAGGGAGAGAAACCTTGGTGGGTGAGCCATGCAGGTGACTGCTTATTGTCTGATTTTCATGTGCTTCCTGAGCAGTAGAAAATGGGCCCCTGCAGACCAAATTGTTCAACATCAGCCTCCCAGATGCTTTCCAGGGGTGTGGGAAGGTAAGCAGAAGCATCTGTGTATTTCACAGAAGTGGATTGGCTGATCTGATAGAGTAGTTACCTGGTTTGTTCACAGACTCTAAAGTGGGTAGAGTCCCAAGCTGGCCCTGTGAAGCAGGAGTGGAATGGGAAGGACACAGCGTGGACTCAGCTCTTCTTTAGAGTGATTTGGTGGTGCAGTAAACAGGAAGTTACCCAAACCTGACCTGGGAGCTGCAAAGGCTATAGACCCTCCACTAGCAAGGAGCATAGTATGATAGAGGACTACTGGTTACCTTTTCCTTACTGAGCAAAACTCTTCTTGGCTCATCCTTGATCTTGAGAAAGAGGAGGGTAGGAGGATAAATGCTAGCGCCTTCTTTCTGAGGTCGTCATATATTCCCATGTTCTTCAATATTTTTTTCACATCCCACTTTACCGCAAGCACTCCATGAAAACATGGTAATGAAATAGTTGTTTTCCCTGTTACAGAAGGAAGAACTCTAGACACTGCTCATCAGCAATCTTCCTGACATCACCTTCTTAGTATAAACAGCAATGTATTTAGCTTATGATAAACTATTCCTATTGTAACTTCTAGAGTCATCACTAAAAAGCAATGGGGGAACAAGAGGAAGGGCTAATAAATATTAAAACAAAACTAGCAAATATTTACTTAATCGAAAAAAATTTTGGAAAGAGGAAATAAAGGATGAGGGAACATATAAGCAAATAAAAACAAATAGGTGATAGACTCCCTTAAAACTATATCAGTAATTACAATAAATACAAACAGACTAAATACTCCAATAAAAACACTACTCTTGTCAGGCTTGTTAAAAATTTTTCAAAGACTTTACTATATGAAATTTATAAAAGATAAAAATCGCCAGTTGTGATAGCACACACCTGCTGTCTTAGTGTTCTAGGCCTGTGAAGGGAAACCATGACCACAGCAACTCTTATAAAACAAAGCATTTACTTTGGGTTGGATGACACTTTTGGAGATTTAGTCCATCATCGTGGTGGGGAACATGGCAGCACACAAGCAGACACACATGGTGCTGAAGAAGTACCTGAGAGTTCTATACATGGATCCACAGGCATCAGGAAAAAAGAGACTGTAGGACTGGCTTGGGCCCAAAGCCTGGTGAGGAAGTCCCCAGTGACTACAAAGCCACACCACCTTATCCTCAAGTAGTGCCACTCCCTAATGATTAAGCTTTCAAATACATGAGCCTATGGAGGCCAATCTCATTCAGGCCACCACCCCAATACTCAGGAGGTAGAGTCAGGGAAATCCAGAATTCCAAGCTATCCTGGGGTAAAATAAGAGATCCTGACTCACAAACTGAAATCTAAACCAACAACAAAAGACACACAGGTAAACAAAGTTAGACAAAACAAACCAAAATAAACAAACTCTTACAAGTTAAAAAGATAAGCTGAGAAAAGGTATAAAGGCTTTTGTATCAGTTACTTTTCCTTTTGCTATGACAAGGTGCCCTACCAAAAGCAATTTAAGGGAAGAAACATCTATTTGGGTTCACAGTTCTAGGGTTCGGTTCAGCATGCTGGGGAAGTCACAGTGACAGGACTTGAAGCAGTCAGGAGACTGAGGACAATGAGTTGTTATGCTCAGCTAGCTTCTTCCTCTTTACATAGCCCAGGACCAAGCCAGGGAAAGTTGCCCCACTCCTCTATCTCAGTTAAACCAATCAAGGAAATCCCTCATAGGCTTGCCTACATGCTAACCTAATCTCAAAGATCCCTCACAGGTGTGTCTGGAGTCCCCTAGGCGATTACAGATCTTAGCTAATTGATTATCAACACTAATATCACACTCTGAGAGTCTGGACAGAATTTATATTATCATACAAAGAGTGATCACAACACTTGTGTTACTAGGAAAGTAAACTTTATGAGTAAAAGGGTCAATTCAATAGATAGAGCTACTAAAATTTCACTCACTTGATAACACACATTTAGAACATATTAAAACATAAATGAAATGATTGCCACATTATTGTTTTTTAAGCAACTGCCAAAAATTTAACGGATTTACAACTGTTACTTTAATCACAGGTTTTCTACAATCCCTCCTACTCCCCTGGCCAAAACAGATACTTGGCCAAAAGATGTGGGCATCCTGGCCCTGGAGGTCTACTTCCCAGCCCAATATGTGGACCAAACTGACCTGGAGAAGTTTAACAACGTAGAAGCAGGGAAGTATACAGTGGGCTTGGGCCAGACCCGTATGGGCTTTTGTTCGGTCCAGGAGGACATCAACTCGCTGTGCCTGACAGTGGTGCAGAGGCTGATGGAGCGCACAAAGCTGCCATGGGATGCTGTGGGCCGCCTGGAAGTGGGCACCGAGACCATCATTGACAAGTCCAAGGCTGTCAAAACAGTGCTCATGGAACTCTTCCAGGACTCAGGCAACACTGACATTGAAGGCATAGACACCACCAACGCCTGCTATGGTGGCACTGCCTCCCTCTTCAATGCTGCCAACTGGATGGAGTCCAGCTACTGGGATGGTATGTGTTTCCAGGGCATTGCAGAAGTATGGTTCTTGGCGGCTGAATTCTGTGTTTTGCCTCTCAGCTCTTCAGTGGGCTTCGTACTGGGAGGGGAAAGGCAATTTATCCATACAGATGCTACTGTCACCGAACAAAAACAGTGACAATAGCCATGAAGAGAAGTACAGATTCATGTAGCTGGTGAGGTAACTTGTTCATGTAGCCATTCATTTATTCTGTGCAATATCTTGTGGTGAGAATTCTGCACCTGATTATAGATGAGAAAGTGAAATATTTGGTCTTACTTCTTCAGTTCCTTGTCTTGCAGCTGTGACAAACCCCTGACAAAAGCAACTTAAGGAAGGAAAGAAGAAAGAAAGAGTTCGATTTGGCTCACAGTCTGAGGGTACACAGTCCATGATGATGAGGAAGTTATGGTTGCAGGAGTTTGAAAAAGCTGGTCACAGGGCATCCCCAGTCATGAAGGAGAGAGAGATGAATGCTTTTGTTTTGGCCCTCTTTCTCCTTTTTGTTGAGTCCAGGACCTCAGCCTATGGGATGATGTCACTCAGTTTTGGAGTGCTTCTTCTACTTCAGTTAACCTAAATGACAAAATCCCTCATAATAGCCTAGAGGTTTGTTTTCATGATGATGACAAATCTCATCCAGGTGACACAATTAAGACTAAATACCACATTGACACAGTGAGTGAGTCTAGCACACCTCTCTGTGCTTAGTTCTCTTAATCACCTCCTAAGTCTCTGAGATAAAGATGTATGTATACACCTTTTGATAGCAGGGGTGGACCATGAGCCTATTGTCTTCTCCAGAACCTGCTCCTGAATGTTGACTTTTGTTTAACATATTACTATTGCTTTGTATCTTCCTTACATCCTTCCCCAGGGATACAATGGTGGGATAACTCCTGTCAGGAGGGCAAGGAAGAGTCCAAAAGAAAAAGTGTGAGGCTTAGATAACTAATCTAACTCAGGAATGTCACTGTCTTAGTCAGTGTTCTACTGCTGTGAAGAGACACCATGACCACAGCTACTCTTATAAAGCATTTATTTGGGGGCTGGCTTACAGTTTCAGAGGTTCAATCCGGTTGGATACTTAAGATCATGGAAGCATGCAGGCAGTCAGGGTGCTGGAGGAGTAGCTGAGAGTTCTACACGCAGATCCAGGAGGCAGGCAGCAGGAAGAGAGAGACATAGGGCCTGGCTTGGGCTTTTGAAACCTCAAGGCCCAACCCCAGTGACAAACTTCCTCCAACAAGGCCACACCTCCTGATCCTTCTAAATAGTGCCACTCCCCAGTGACTAAGCATTTAAATGCATGAGCCTATGGGGACCATTCTCATTCAAACTGCCACTTAGTCTCCCTCTGAGTTCTTGTTTACCTTGGGACCTTGATTGTCTCTGTATTTTACTGAGTCTGAAACTAGGCCAGAAAGCCTTAAAATCCATAGTGAATACTAATTACAAAATTAATTTTAAGGTTCTAATGTTGGCCATGGATCTTGGGAAATATATTGCCCAACATTCTTTCCTTTAAGTAAAGGGACTAGGTCTGCGGAAACGACTCAACAGTTGAACATACTTGCAGTGCAAGCATGAAGACCAGAGTTTGGGCCCCACATCCCAAGCCAAAGCTGGGTGGGCATAGAGACCCACCTGTAATCCCAAAGCTGGGAAAGCAGAGTTAGGGGGTCCTTGGGGAAAGCGGATCAGCTAACTTAACCAAGATGGCGAGTTTCAGGTTCAGTGAGAGACCTTGCCTGAATAGACAGCAATGCAGGGGGATGCTAACATCCATCTCAAGCCTCCACATGCAAGCAGCATATACACTATGCACCCACACACACAGGCAAACATGTGTATACACATGCACTCCTGCCCCCCCACAGGTTTAACAAAATTAGCTTTATAACTGATACCATAATCTGCATTCAGTTCTTCCTCTTCCCTTAACGTTTGCCTTTCTTGTTATCCTTACTGCATGTTATTATTGCCATCATGCACATTTGTGTGCATGTATACCAGGCACACACGTGGTTCAGATACATGCATGCAGGAAAAACACTTGCCACCATGCCTGATGACCTCAGTTCCATCACCAGAGCCCCTGTGGGAGAGACCTGACTCCCACAAGGCACTCTCTGCTTCCACATGTGTTGCACTCTCTTGTGTGCATGCAAACATACACATATTGAAAAAATTTCATGAAAATTAAATGTAATTTGTATGTGTGGTTCTGAGGGAGCAGGCATTCCATAGCTAGACTGTGGGGACAATGAGCTTTCAATTTATATTTCAGATACAAATGGACCATGGGTTTTCACTAGAGTTTATGTGTAGTTATTTTATTTTATTTTTATGTATTGATAGTTCCATCTATTTCCAGTATGTAAAACTGTGCTCGGCACACAGTGGGCCTTCACTCTACTCTAGGTTTGGCAGTGATGTCATGACTAACTATCTTGTCTGTCTCTGCAGGTCGCTACGCCCTGGTGGTCTGTGGGGACATTGCGGTCTACCCAAATGGTAATGCCCGGCCCACAGGTGGTGCCGGGGCTGTGGCAATGCTGATCGGGCCCAAGGCCCCACTAATTCTGGAGCAAGGTTCGTAATAAACATCACTAAGAGGCTGTGCCCATATCTGTCACATCATAGATCTGGCCGTGTGCAGCGCAACCAGGCCATCGGTCCCGATGCTAAAGTGTTTCTTATACGTGCCACTCGGGGCTGGGGGATGGTGGCGCTAGCCTGGGGAGGAGCTGCTTAGGGGTAAGAGAGAAGCCAGAACTGGTGCTTTCCTCATGCGCTAGGAGAATGGTGCATGGAGTGGATGTGGCAGGTGCGGGTGAGGAATCTTAGGGAATCATGTGGAACTAACAGTGAAAGAAGAAATCAGGACATGAAGTGAGGTGTGGAGAATTCTGCCTTCTAGCCTAGGCTTCCAGAAGCTCACAAAGGTATGGAGAGAGAAATATTAATCGCACTCCTCCAAAACCAATAATAATCTTCGACTCCTTTTGACCATGCAAGGGTGCTGGAAAGGCTCCGTCTCAGGCATAGGTGACAAAACAGAGCCAGTAATCTCTCTTCCTTTCTGCTTGAGGCAGCCTGTCTAAAGCAGTCTCTGGAGCCTTCTGTGTGCCTTTCCAGGCCTGAGGGGAACCCACATGGAGAACGCATACGACTTCTACAAACCAAACTTGGCCTCAGAGTATCCGCTGGTGGACGGGAAGCTCTCCATCCAGTGCTACATGCGGGCCTTGGATCGATGCTACGCAGCCTATCGCAAGAAAATCCAAAACCAGTGGAAGCAAGGTCTGGGGCTGGGAGCCCAGAGAGGGGGGTCTCCGCTCGCATGGCCAAGAGTTTTCCTTTCCTTCCCTGCACGGCACCTTAGTAATACCCGTAGAACGAATGTGTAGTGGATGAATGAGGCAGCCTTCCATGTGTGTGCTGGAGAAAGGAACTATCTCTCTGGGAAGCTGAGGCCCTGGGCATCATTAAATCTGGGAGAGTGGATCTCACAGTAGCTCATACCACCTCTCACCTTCACGCTCTCTTTTCCAGCTGGAAACAACCAGCCTTTCACCCTCGATGATGTTCAATATATGATCTTCCACACACCCTTCTGCAAGATGGTCCAGAAATCCCTGGCTCGGCTGATGTTCAGTGACTTCCTGTCGTCAAGCAGTGACAAACAGAACGATTTGTACAAGGGGCTGGAGGCTTTTAGGTGGGTCTTATTTCAGCAGACTTTGGGCTTGTGGAGGATATGCAAGGAGGAGGATCCCTCACACCTTGGGTAGAGACTCCCCTCCTCTGAGAGGCAGATGGCAGCCCTCCAACACAGCAGAAAGATGTCAAGCCCTTCTGTCAACAGAGGGATGGGATGGACCAGGCCTGCATAGGGGCTGTCTGTGTATTAGGTGAGGAAAGGAAGGTAAACAGAAAGAACGGAAGGTAAGCGGAGCATGCGATATCTGATTTTCAGATTTTTAATGGACTCTGAAAGTGTGGATAGGTGCCACAATAAAAGTGTATGTAAAATGCTCTCTCAGAATGACAGGTGTCTTAGTAGGGTCTCCATTGCTGTGAGGAGACACCATGACCACGGTAACTCTTATAAAGGGAAACATTTCACTGGGGCTGGCTTACAGTTTCAGAGGTTTAGTCCATTATCATCATGGCGGGAAGCACGGCAGACATGGTGCTGGAGGAGCCGAGAGTTCTACGTCTTAACCCGCAGGCAGCAGCAGGAGACTGTGTGTTCCACAGAGTGTGGCCTGAGCATATAAGAGACCTCAGAACCCACCCCCACAGTGACACACTTCCACTAACAAGGCCACGTCTCCTCATAGTGCCACTCCCTAAGGGCCAAACATTCACACACACACACACACACACACACACACACACACACACACACAAGTCTATGGGAACCATACCTATCCAAACCACAACAGGACTATTAAATTGCTCTCTTCAAATGTTTAAATAATGTAATAAAAAAAAAGCACTCCAGAACTTCCTCTCCGGAAGCAATCGCCTGCTATGTTCCTGGGCCTCTTCTCTTGGCATCTCCCACGTGAACGTCTTGCTTTGCCTCACAGGGGTCTAAAGCTGGAAGAAACCTACACCAACAAGGATGTAGATAAGGCTCTTTTGAAGGCCTCCCTGGACATATTCAACAAGAAGACCAAGGCCTCCCTTTACCTCTCCACGAACAATGGGAACATGTACACGTCATCCCTCTATGGGTGCCTGGCTTCACTGCTCTCCCAGTGAGTATGAGCGGAGAGGCTGGCCAAGTTTGGCTCCTCTGCTCGTTGAAACTTTAGGTTTGTTGAGAGGTAGACTTTCACAATAAGGGATGGGAGGAAGGGTAGAGAAAAAGATTTCAGCTCGCTTCAGAGGTCATAGGAGACAGATTTGCTGGCCGTGTTGAACTTCTCCAGCGCGAAGACGTTGGGGAACGTGCAAGGCCCACCCGGGTGGTAAGAAAACAGAACCTGTGGGCGTATATAAAAATCTCTAGACTTAACATAGCATGGTGGATGTTAGAGGCTAGCTTTGGATCCCATAACAGGGTTCAAGCCTACACCATGTATCTTGAAAAATTACTCCCTAGGCTGGGGACATGGTTCAGTGGTTAAGAGCACCGGGCTGCTCTTCCAGAGGACCCGAGTTCAATTCCCAGCACCCACATGGCAGCTTACAACTGTCTGTGAACTCCAGTTCAAGGGCATCTGACATCCTCACACAGACATGAATGCAGACAAAACACCAATGCACATTACAAAAAATTAAAAAAAGAAAAACTACTTCCCAGTGTTCCTCATTTGTAAAATATCTACATAATGCCTGCTTTCTATCATGTTTTTATTGTTTGGTTATAGCATGTAATTTATTTAGATCAACCCCCCCCCCCATCACCCACTGCAACTCCTCCTAGACTACCATTTATTTATTTATTTTTTAATTTAAATAACCCACTGAGTCCAATTAGTGCTTCCCGTATGTATGGGTATAGGGACATCTACTGGAGCATGAACAACCTACTGTGAGTCGCACACATGAAGAAAGCTGACTCCCCTCCCTCCGCAGCCAGCAGCTGCCAACAGCTTCTCGGTTAATGGTGAAGCATCATAAGCCCTTTCTCTGCCTGTGCAGAAATTTTGATTGGCTTGACCTTATGTAGGCAAACAGGGCTGTTGAGAGCTCATGAGAGCAAAGGCCATGTCCAGGAGAGACCATTTTGCAGCAGTCCGCCCTGATTTCTGGGTCTTACAGTCTTTCTTCCCCCTCTTCTGTGATGCTCCCTGGGCCTTGGGTGGGAGTGTGAGATATAAATGCATTCTTATTGGTGCAATAGTGACACAGATGCTATTGGAGTAACCAACAGCTTTCTATTAGGACTTAAGGCCAGCTCCATAGAGGGAGCTAAGGCATGGTATTGTAAACCTGCCCAAGAACATATGGCTGGGCAGGTCATAGGCCCTCGAGGAGAACCTATCACTTTGCTAAGTAGGCACAGTATCAAAGTGCCTTCTAAATACGCGTCCTTATTCGCCTAGATTCTTGTATCTCTCACACCTGATCAGAGAAGCTTCTTTTTGTAGTGGATCATGATCAAAACAGAGATTAACAGCTGGTCCAAGTACAGAGACTAATTGACTACGGAATGTTTTCATGAAGATTGGCTGAAAAAAATTACAGTGCTCAGAAAGTTCTCAAACGCTATGACTTTTACTGAATTTCCTCTTCCATGGTATCTATAAGGAAATACTGCATATTGTATAGAAAAGATACTTTGAGGTGAACTCAATCAAAATTACTGATGGGGAATGCTCAGAAAGCTGAGTCATAGCTTTGTGTCCCAGCAAAGGCCTGCAATCCCAGAACTTCGGTGGCTGAGGGACTGCAGAGTTTAAGGCCAGCCCGAGCCATATGTAGGTACATAGGTATCACACACACACACACACACACACACACACACACACACACACACATACAAGCTGAACCATTGTGGTAAACTTGGGAACCTCAAGGGCGAGCACACTAGTCATCTCTTCTTGGCTCCGTCTGAAAGCATCTGCCCTCACAGTCCTGCCTTCATGTTTTGGGCTGTGTCTGCCCTCCTTTTGGCGAGACTTCTTACTTCTGGTCCTGTGTCTGGATTCCACCTATCAGAGTACACGGAGTATATTTCTAGTCGCATAAGGTGGGCAGGCATGAGGAGGCTTTATCTGAAATACAGAATACAGTGCTGATGCGGCTATGTTTTTCTGTTTGGTTTTGTTTTGTTTTTCTCCTGCAGTCACTCTGCCCAAGAACTGGCTGGCTCCAGGATTGGTGCCTTCTCCTACGGCTCAGGCTTAGCAGCCAGTTTCTTTTCTTTTCGAGTCTCCAAGGATGCTTCTCCAGGTGAGCCTCAGGTCCTCCTGAACAATGCCTCCTGGTGAAAGAAGCCACCTTGTGCTTCACGTTGGCCGAGGTAGCTGTCTTGACAGAGCTAAACTGTGACTAACAGCAAAGGAAACTCCTTCACAAGGTTGTACACGTGAGCACTTCCTCAGCTGTCGCAAAGGTAGATTCTAGGAAACCAGTTAGACAAGGCGAGAGGTAATAGTTTGGTTTAGCTGCCTAAAGAGAGGTTGGTGGAGCTGAGCTATCCAGTAAGTATCTGTTGATTGTTGTACGAAGACTGTGATCAAGATGAGGCATCTAAGTGCCATGCAGGGTCAACCTACAGACCCTGCCTATGAGCATCAGTGATAATGACTACAGGACATTGCTTCTGCTTCCTAGGTTCCCCTCTGGAGAAGCTGGTGTCTAGTGTGTCAGATCTCCCCAAACGTCTAGACTCTCGGAGGCGCATGTCCCCTGAGGAATTCACAGAAATAATGAACCAAAGAGAGCAATTCTACCACAAGGGTAAGAAAAGGAACAAAGGAAAGGAAGAGAGAAGAAAGCATTTCACCCCAGATCCCATGCCAGTACCTGGAGCTAGGGGTTCTTCAGACATCTGGAATGTAATGGGGCAGGGTCACAATTTTTATGGATATGACTGAAGGGTTTGTGAAGAGAGAACTTGACCAACTGAGCCCTCTCCATAGTCCCTTGGATAGTAGGCAGGCAGGTCTCAAGTACCTGGCCCAAGATGGCAGCATCTCTGGTCCTCCTTCCATTTATATGCCCCTCCTTCTGTATGGCACAGAACCTGTGATTCACAGCCCCTGACAGCACACCCAGTAGCGCTCTGCCAGAATCTGTAGGCATTCCCATTACTGTGGCCTCCCCTGCACACCCATGGCCTGCTTTGTGGGTACTACTTCTTTTTCCTTGTCCCACAGTGAACTTCTCTCCACCTGGCGACACAAGCAACCTCTTCCCAGGTACTTGGTACCTTGAAAGAGTAGATGAGATGCATCGCAGAAAGTACGCCCGGCGTCCCATCTAACAGAGGTGAGTTAGCTTGTAGGGCTGGAGGCACAAAGGCCTGCCATCTTCCTCTGGGTCACAGAGGCAGTGCTGAGTCTGTGGTCACGTCAGATGAAGCCATAGCTTAGGAAAAGGTCACAGGGAGTTACAGACCGTGAGCTCCAGAGCCTGAGTGGGAGGGAATCATTGTCTTGCAAAGCTGGACTCTAACTTGTGCATACTCAAGCCTCCTAGAAGATTGAGGGAAGCTAAGTCAGAACCCATGAGAGGAAGTAGACAGCAGCAGAAATTCTGCGGCACGTTGTCCCAAAACAATGAGATTGGTGGCAAAGATCAACAGCTGTAGCAGAGCTGTGCCCTTGGGAGCTGGGAGGCAATGCCTAAGGCAGCTGGGTGGTTTGAGTTCCTTGGCTGGAGGGAGCTTTAGGACGGGCGGTGGCAATGTGGCAATTCTCATCTCACAAGATTCCTCTCGGGGAGAAGCAGGGAATCTTGGGAAATTAGGGAGGATGAGTGTAGGTGGGAGAAGAGAGTTGTCTGAAAGAGGACTTGGGGAGAGGAAACAAAAGGATCCCTTACAGCATTTCTCTAAGGAAAATTGAGGGTCCAGACTCACAAGCTTATAATTCATCAGAGTGGATGTCTGCTCAATAGATAAGCACAACGGAAGTGCAAGAAGCAATTTCTTTTATAGTCTACAAATCTCAATACAGTCCCTGTGCTGTTTTAGTAAACGAATGAGGAAGGATAAAAAATGTGGCCAAGGCAGGATAAGGGACAGAAGGAAAGATGTCCACAAACAAAGGAGAGGTACAGGCAGAGTATAGGACAGGGGACTAGCCACTGTCCCCAAAAAATGAAGCAGTCTCAGGCCCCCTTTGTGAGGCTGCTCAGTGCTGGAGCCAAGATGTAGGGGAGAGGCAAAGCAGTGAGACTTGACAGGCCAAGGATGAGGGAATGAGGCTCAGGAGGTCCGGGTCAGTAAACAGGCTCCTAAGACTTCGGTCTTACCAGGAATCATGCTCGAGATATGGTTGTCGGGGTAGGTTAGCCACAAAGAAGCAGCTGTTAAGGCCTTCGGGCTAGGTGAGTCAGGAGACATAGAGAAATGGGTTGGGTGTGACAGCTCACACCCCTAATGGCAGCACTGAGGAAGCTGAGGCAGGAGAAGCACATTTGAGGCCAGCCTGCTTACAGAGTGAGTTCTAGGCCAGCCAGGAGTACAGAGAGAGACCCTGTCTTAACAAACCAACCAACCAAACCAAACCAAAACAACAACAACAACAACAACAAAAAAAACCAGGGGATTTTTGAAAGACAGTTTCCAGTTCCAGACCTTTCCTTCCTAAGAGCCTGGACAGCATCATGCCACAAAGAGGCAACAGGGTTCCTGAGCTGCTCTCACTGAATCATGCAGTGATATGGGCTGGAGAGCCCAGGGCGAGGGGTGATTGAATCTGTCTTTCCTCTCTCCAGATCCACGCAGCATTTCCCTCAGAAAGAGTGTGAGCAGAGCTGCCGCCTGCCCAAACAGCACCTGCTTAAAATTCCACCCCTGGCAGTAAAGAATGAATGCACAGTATCCCCATAGGATCTGCTCTGCTGTGAAGAATCCCCCTCAGTGAAGGACCTCCCTCCATGGCTCCTTCCTGATTCCCCCTGATGCAATCACTGCCACAGGCTCAGGCTGCTGTGGACCAGAGCGCCCTTGTGAAGAGGGAGATAGAAGAAAGAGAGATGTCTGACCAGCAGGGAGACAGATCAGCCATCTTTCCCCACACCCAGACAGACCTACCATTTGTTACAGCTTTATTATCAGACTTCAGGGCTGTTCTACTTTGTTTGTTTGTTAAACTTCCCTGAGAATTTCTAAATTTTGTATTTTGTTCTAAAATAGTATATGGCAATTAAAAGGAGAGAAGAAATGACTTGAATTTCTAGAAGCCAAGACCTACTCAGAGGGCTGGGCACCCGCTTTATCACCTCAGCTCTTCTATGCAGTCTAGTTCACCATGATTCTGTACATTTCTGCTAAGCACTGTGGCAGACACAAGGCGAATAAAGACCGACACAGAGCACCCCCCCTTCTTCCTTCTCTGTCCCACTGAATCCGTATCTTGGCAGAGCCAGCAAGTGCTGAGTAAATCAAACCCCCTCCCTTGGCATAGGTGCCCAGTGCTTCGCAGCCCAAACCCACAAGGTTGGCCAGGTACGGTCAAGCACAACTGAAAGTCTCAAAGCTGAGACAGGACTGGATTCAAGGCCAGCCAGGGTTATGCCCGAAGACCTTATTAAAGCAGAGTAAAGGCAGGTGGTGGCGGTGCACGCTCACAGCACGTGGGAGGCAGAAGCAGGTGGATACATGTGAGCTCAAGGCCAGCCTCATCTACAGCCAGGGCTACACAGAGAAACCCTGTCTCAAAAACCAAAAAAACATAAACGAAGGGATGAGGCGGAGGTAGAACACTCTCTGCCTTAGGTGAAGAGAGCATAGCTTTTCTTCCTAAAACAGTGGTTTAGAGATGTGCGCACTGAGCACCAGGAGAGGGGAGGGAGGGGGCCGGGGAAGAGAAAGGACAAGGGGCTGTAGTCCTTCATTTTCTTTTAGAATAAAAGCTTTGGTGAGAGATTCTGTTGAAGGAAGCCTTCTGGCTGGAGGGCCTCAGGGACATATCACACCACTACTAGTAAACCTGGGCAAGGCCCAGCACCAGCCTACCCCAGCTGCAGCCCCTCTTCACCATGCATGGTGGCTTGGTCAGGCCAGAATCGCTTGCAGGACCATGTTCCCTGCAGTGATGTCCGTCTGCACGGAAGACAATCCAGTGTTTCCCCTGTTCAAGACAGGACACAAAGTGTGTAAAGAGCTCTCTGCAGGGCCTTGGCAACCAGGACGGTCCCTCTCTGTGCCCCATTGTTGAGCCCCTCTACCAGGGGTCATATGGATGCAAGTAGGAATGATCTCAAAATGACAGTGTGGGGGTGGGAAGATGGCTCAGTGAGTTAAGGCACCTGCTGCAAATCCTGACCCGATCTCCATCTCTGGGACCCACGTGGTAGGAAAGAGCTAGTTCCTCTAAGTGTCTTCTCCTTATCAAACTTGGGGTCACAGTCTATCCTATAAGAAATCAAGTTGGACACATGTGTGCCGGGACAGGCATATGGCTTACTCCCTAATAAAACGTAATTTAAAATTGTGTCAAGGTGCTCGTCAAGTGAGTGACTGCTTTCACCACACAGCTGCTGAAGGCCCAAGCTCCAGCTACCAGCAGAACACACCAGTCAGCAGTAACCCCCCCCCCCCATGTCCCTGGCTTCAGGTGGCCTTTTTTTCATCACTTTGGTATGCTCTTCATTCAAACTGATAGTCCGAAGCAGGGCAGTGGTGGCACACGCCTTTGATCTCAGCACTTGGGAGGCAGAGGCAGGTCTATCTCTGTGAGTTCCAGGCCAGCCTGGTCTACATACAGAGGTGTTCCAAGACAGCCATGGTTACGCAGAGAAACAAAACAGCAAAAAAAAAAAGACTGACAGTCCAGAGTCAGTTCTGTAATGCCATTCCAGCATTTGCCCTGACTCCTAGGCAGTATATTCAAGAGTGAAACTCTACTCTGAAGTTATAGGGAGTGAACACCACAAGGCAGAATATGAAAAAGAAAGGCACGGATTGGGCAAACACCTTTGTCACCTCACAAAACCTGTCCAAAGCAACTCCCTAAACACCAACATCCTCTGCTCAAATTACTTCCTCCCCAGGAGTATCTCTACACCATGGCATCGCACGGCCTGAGTGTTTAGCCAAGCCCACAAGACTGCCAGCAGAGGGTCCTCTCTGAATTCTCTGAAAGCAAAGCACCAGCCAGGGCCTGGCCTACACTGTGTCTATACTCCTTCATGTGCACGTCTAACATGAAAGAGTTCTGAAACACTCCTGAGCTCTGTTCCACCGGATAATTTCAGAAAGGAAGGAAGAGAGGGCACACACAAGCTGAGGTACTTTGCAAACCCCAACCTTCGTCTACAAACTACTGGACTTCGAGAAGTGGCCCTCTGGTGCCCCCTGCTGGCTTTTCTAGATAATGACCGCACAGACACCCATGTAGAGTTAGACTCTTTACTAGATGTTAGTTCAGGCAAACGGCCAGATTCTGCTCCAGGAATGGGATCTCCTCTCCCTATAGATCACAGGGAATGTTTCTCCAGAGAAACCCTCTGAGGAGCTGGGGCCAGAGAGTCCCAGGGTCAGAAGCAGAACTGGAAGGCCTCAGATACATGCTGCTTCCACGCTTCCAGGCTGGGCAGCAGGGAGGAGAGGCCCATGACGTGCCAGGTCTCTCCATCAGATACCTTGGAGGTTTGATAGGACAGCAACTGCACACCTGCGTCTGCCAGGAGGCCTGGGAGGAAAGGAAAGCCCTTGGTCAGCACGAGGGAAGGGACGAGAGCAGCATGACGTCAGGCTTCTGTGACCAAAGCTGCGTGGGGGAGGGGAGGGAACTGCTCTCCATATGGGGGAGCTGCAACGGCAGGGCAGGTGGTACAGGTGGTGGTTCTCCACTCCAGGTCCTTCCCAGCACGGCCTGAGCATCAGGTGACGTGGAGAAAGCTCTTAGAGTGAAAAAAAAAATCACTGGACCAATAGCAAGGGAAGGCAGGAAGAAAAGCAGAGCCCAGACGGTGAAATGAGAATCCTCCACACCCGAAGGGTCTTGGGACACATCCTCTGCTAAACCTGGACGAGACCCAGAACCCTCAGCCTCCCAGGTCCCAGAAGACTGGGCACACAACACAGAAGGGGTGCTCTCATACATGTTGCTGCAGCGAGGATGGCCACCAGGGCCATCAGGAGCAGTCTATGAGGTAAGCTCCCGGAATACACGGGAGACGGCGGGGACATGGCAGACTTGTTCCGCGGCAGGGCACCTCTGAGCACCTCTGCCTATACTGCTGTGACCTCAGATAGATAAACCACTTTCCCTGTCTGAGCTGTTCCTTACGCTGTAGAAACCGTTGTGCAAGGCCCTCTGTGAGGTATATACAGACATGCCCTGAGGCACAGAAAAAGCACCCCCCCATCTCTGCCTCAGGAGCCTGGCCAGCCCTACCCCCACCCCACAAAAGCCTCCTCACCAATCATCGTGGGCAGCATTACAGGGTTGGAGGGCTGAGCCCGGAACATGAGCAGGGGCTGGCCCCTTCGGAGTGGCACCTCTGGCCTGAAGACAGCTCCATTGAGCACCTGTAACATGGGTGTGGTGCCCTGGACCAAGCCCACAGCTTGGTAGGGGGCACCTGCCAGGGACACAGTCAGGAGGCATTCCCCGCTGCCCTGCTCCCCTGGGCCCTCAGGGCTGTGGGAGGTGGTGACCTGCGGAGAGAAGACGGGCACAGTTGAACTCTCCCTCCGCTCAGCATACATAATCACCCATGTGTGAGGGATCTAGCTTGGCCCACTAGTTCAGTAATTTGGGGATAGGAACAAATGGGGAGAGCCTTATGCCCCTGAAGATTAGCTCCTCAGAACGGTCAATATGCCCTTAAAGGGAGGACCAAAGAGCTACCTGGCTGGCCAGGGAGGGTGGGAAGTGAGAAGGAAGGCTGATGAGGACCTAGCACTGGGTAACTGACCGGCCTGCCCTTTCTGCTCCACCTTCTTGGTCCATGGCTCGACAAGGGTGCAGGAAAGGAGAAAGTGGGGTAGTACTAGCAAAACTCTGTTCTTAAGATGTTAGACTGTGACCTGAAAGGAGAGTGAGAGGGGAAGCCGAGAGGGGAAGCTGAGGGTGGTAGAGAGTGCTCCCAGGGTTTACAAGCATCTCCCAGCTGCACTCAGATGCAGCCTGGCTCAGCTGTGAAATGGAGGGGCCTTACATTCCCCGCTCACAGAACTTATGCATCTATACAGACAGTACTTTGGTGAGTATGAACTCACTCCGAGTTGCTTTTTTCCTTTACAGATGAAAGAATTGAGGCCAGCTCACACCAGCAGGCAGGGCAGATGGCAGGAAGCCAACCCAATGAGTGAAACTGTGAACAGGCTTCTAAAATGTGGGGTGGCCTGGGGCATGGTGGCACACGCCTATAACCCTAGCATCTGGGAGGTAGAAGCAGAAGGATCAGGAGTTCAAGGACAGCCTGGGTTAATATGAGACTGTCTCAATAAAGTAAAATAAATAAAAAGGGGTGGTGGTGGCGGCGGCAGAGCAGTGCTGAGAGCAAAGAAGGTACGCACACTGAGGCCAGCTTCTTTCACCAATAGCTTAGCATTCACCAGGTTCACATCTGCCTGCTTTGACGCTTCTCTTAGAAGGCCGACAATGACCGCCGGGCTCAGACAGGTCCCAGCGTTCTTCAGAGGTGTTCCTGGGGACACAGAGAGTTAGCCTAAAAATCGTGGTTCACTAGGTACCACAGGAGGAGGCAGGAAGACATGGGCACTTAACTCTCAGCTACAAGGTTCCCGTTGCCCTGGGAACCCTAACGGCAGGCTGCACTGGGCATTGTAACTCCTTCAGAGTACTGAAAGCCAGCTGGGAACACATCTGGATCCAAGCCCAGAATGCTTTAACCAATTTGAGAAATTCCCCTACAAAACCCAGACCAACTCAACTCGCCATGGTGGCCTACCGGACTTCCCAGAAGACACTTGGAAAACTGTGTGCTCCCACAAGTGGCTGGTACTCAAGATACTTGCTTGCAAGTGCTCAGATAGGAGTTATTGAAGTAACCCCATGCCCAGCTCCCTGCCATGCTTCCTCAGGGCCTGGGTACTCAGGGCACTGGGTATGGCAACCCCTGGCTCTGCCTGTCCCTGGTAATGCCAATGTTTAGGATTGTTCAGCCCAATTTCACTCTCTCCCCAAGTGTCAGGTGCCAACTAGGCGATGGGGAGCCATCCAACCCCATCTGCAGACTGGTGGCCCCACTACCTAGGTGGCCGGGTTGCACACAGCCACAGGTCAGAACCAGACACACACAGATTGGCTGGCTGGTTCAGATTCTCTCTACAAACTCCAATGTCTTTTACATGAAACTCTGGACTCTTCCATGGGAAACATGGCTATCCTAAATACACTGCATAAACACGATCTGTGAAATACATTAGAGCAGGGCCCAAGTCCCCTGAGACTGCCACTAGAAATGCAATGAGCGCTGGACACATGCAGCAGGGTGAGTCCACACCCCCCTGTCCCATCTCCAGGCAGCGCTCCTAGCTCGCGCTGTGCGCCTGGCCAGACCTAGGCTCACCTCGCGTCACTACCTGGATGGTTCCTTTAGGGGAGCCAGCCCAGGCATGCATCAGAGTGCCCAGTGCTTCTGCCAGACCAATCCAAGGCTTGGTGTGTGGAGAAAAGGCACTGGTCAGGGCCTGGGCGTTGACCTGCAGAAAGAGGGGAGCGGGGTGACGTTGAAAAGAAGTAAGGGGACCCACGCTCGGATGAGCAACTGAAGCAATGTTGTGTGGCCAAGAGTTGGCTGGGCACGGAGAGGCACGGCAGGCGGTAGGTGAGGGGTGTCCACCAAGCGCCAAGCAGGAAATGTGTCCCTGTAGGTGAGAAGAGCCGCAGGGCCTGAGGGGACGCAGAAAGCTTGGACCACGCTATATGGCCAGAGCAGCGGTAAAAGCTTTGCCTCATTCACTGAGCGGCACTGGTGCTGGTACCCTCTGTGGGAGACTGGCTTCTTGTGTGGAGAGGGGTCTGGACAGCTAGGTACGTGGGAGCACAGAGAGTGAGAAGGTGGAGTGGCACTTGGGGCCAGCCATCGAATTTGCCTTCTTTTGTGTTTCCGTTTTGAAACCGGGTCTCATGCTACAGTCATCTGGCCTGGCTGAACTCCGTCCTTAGCTAACTCCCAAGTGCTAGGATTATAGGAGTGAACCACCATAGCCGGCTCATTTTATTTTCTGTTTTGATTATTTTAAGCAACTGTTCCCATCTGTCACTGAACACTATGCCCAGCTACCATGACTTATAAAGAGATTCAGGCAGTTCTGAGATCCTACATTATACTTCAAACATCCACTTATGCCAAGTGTGCTGAGGCATGCTGGAGAACTGAGCAGCCAGAGCCAGTCGGAACGGCCCTGGACATCCCAAGTTTACAGTCAGAGCATGCGCCTCCCTCCCACTCCAGGGACTCTAAGAACAGAGCTTCTTTGTTCTGAGGCAGAATTCCTTTCTGTGGCTGCAGACACTCTCGCTCCCAGTATTGACAATTTATTTGAGGATACGTAGAAAGAATCCACCTAAGAAAGATTTAATTAGGAATCTGGGTTTCAAATCATGGAGGCCCATGCCTGTAATCTCAAGCAGTAGGGAGGCCAAGGTAGGAGGCTCTCCCTGAGTTCCAGGCCAGCCGTAGCTAGAGTAAAACCCTGTTCTTTAAACACAAGCCAAATCCCTACCCCACTGGCAAACAAAAAGAAACTGGGTTTGATGAAAAAAAAAAAAAAAAATCAAATAAGGATCTATGAGGTGAGAAAAAAACCATAGTCTTCATAGTCATCACTACAAAGGCCTTTAGTGCTGCTTTAAGAAGCCACAGCGGACAAAGGAAGGAAAAGCAGAGGACGAGGAGGTGGACTCAGCTAAGAAACCCCCAAAGCGGGCGTCACACGTCACTTCCGTCCGCTGTGTGGAGCTCACAAAGCCCAGCCTGGCGATGTGCCTGCTAACCGTAGGGCTAGGAAATAAAAGGATGCGCAGTGGTCAGGCCTGAAAAACCAACAGGAAAGGCGGCAGGATGGAGTCAGGTGGAAAACAGCCTGGTTCTACCGCTCACCTGTGCTGTGGTCAGAGAAGGGGAGAAGATGCAGGAAACAGGGAGAGACTTCCTCCTGTATGAAACACCTCTTCCCAAAGATGATCAGCAGCTTGGGGTGGACAGTTTTGATTTGCTAACAGTTATTGTGACTAAGAGATTTTACTAAGATATCTGTCTTTGTACTCTGCAGAGCTTGCGCGTAGAAGTCCCTGTCAGAAGAAAGTCATGGGCTCTTACCACCACCTTGTGACAGGTGGCTACCCCAAAGTGTTCCCAGGGAGAGAGAGTGGAAGCCTTGAAAAGGCTGAGAGGGTCAAGCTCTATCAGGTGGCCCAAGAGGCGGGGGCATTCATTAGCAGGGCATCATCGAAGGCAGCTTCCTTCAGCCTTCCATTCTCTGGTCAGAGGACTCAGCTAGGACCCCACTCAAGGTCACCTGCTCAGAAGCTCATTGGCTGCTCAGATGGGCAAGAAAATGTGCTCTGGTCTCAAGGAGCCAACACAGGGTGTGTGTGGGAGAGATCAGTGTCACCTGACCATAGTGGGCTCTGCAGCCTCTCACACCACAACTGGCCCTCAAGAAGCCCCATCATCAGCACAGACCAACCGCCACCCTGACTGTCTCAAGACAGAGATGAGTGGCCTAACCAGAGAAAGGAGAGACAAGTGAAACTGTCCTCCCCACCATCATTCTGACCTGACCAGTGACCACCTCCAGGCTATGAGTCAGCTAGGACAGCCATGGCCCCCTCTCACACGTCCAGTCTTCCATGCACTGACTTAATTAATGCTCCGTATTAGTTACGTGTTTAGCAGTCCTTCGCATAAGCTGCGGTGAAACTTCAGTCAGCCTTCTTTGTCCTCGGAGAACTTAGAATTCAGCTTTAACAACACAATAAGCCCACGACAGCTTATTAAAATGTGGAGTGTGGCAGGCAGTGGACACCTTTGCTCCCAGCACTCAGGAGGCAGAGGGATCTCTGAGTTTGTGGCAGGCCAGGGCTACATAGTGAGAACCTGCCTCAAAACACACACAGACACACACACACCATGGGTAGCAAAATATTGGGGTAGAGCTGCAAACGACCAGAAAGTGTTGGTGAAGGAGTTAGTGCACCCACCAGGAAGAGCTGTGCTCTCCTAGTTCCGTGCTCCCTACCCCCTAAGAGCTGGGGCCTTGCTTAGTGGGGCAAACAAAGCAAGGGGGACACTGACAGGGAAGGTTCCCACAGAGAGCAGGATGAGTTCTGGAGAAGGACTTTACGCAGAGAATGCCTCGCGCACCTCCCATCACACTCAGACGGTGCCTCTCTCCATCACCCTAGCAACACCCCCTCATTCCCAAGGCATGTGGACGACAAAGAAGCCTTTCTCTGGTGGCCAGGCCTGAGAAGGGCCACAATCTCTGCAGCAAGGCTACAATATAACAGCTCAGAAGCAGACTCTCAGCTCCAAGGTCTTAGCTATCAAGACCGCAAGCTCCTGTCCAACTATCCCAAGGGCCAACACAAGTACAGGCTCCAACTCTTTGGTTCCAGGGCTGAGCCTGTCCACCCCTACCTACTATGTCTCTTTTCCCAGTCTCCAGGCCCCAGTCCCGTGTAGAGATACTTACGACCCCTGTTAGAGATTTCCCCTTCACCATGTCCACAAACTGGACTGCGATTTCCTCCCCGCAGCGGCTCTGGGCCTCCTTGGTGCTGGCCCCCAGGTGGGGGCAGCTGATGACATTCTCGTGGTCCACTAAGGCCCGGTCCCGAGGTGGCTCCTGCAGAGAGAAGTACCTCTAAGTTGGTTGTGTCCTGGCTATATACCCTCTGCTGTGTTGCCCACTGAATTTTGAGAACTGCAACCACATGAGTCTTGACCTCCTAAGAGCAGACAGTGCAAAGATCCTGATGGCAGATGCTGCTGCTGCTGCTTTATCGGGAAGACAGTCCTACACAGTGGCGCTTGAGACAGAGTTGAGAAAAACAACCAGAAGCACAAACCAAGCCACTGTGCATCTCTGGCTGGGGATATGCAAGCGCTGTGAGAGCTCAGGGAGGAAAGAACCTCCTGGGTTCAAGCCGAGGCCCGTGCTTTTTCCCCTGGGGCCACACCGAGGAACCCGGGTGCAGAGATCACATGTCCGAGAGGACCAGCAGGCTTGGTGGACACACATACTCTGCTCTGCTTGCTGAGCCTGAGCCTTTGAACATGCTGGGAGTCACTCTGGGGACACGGGAGGATGTTGTTATCCCCGGGCTTTGGACCCTCCCTGGGAAGGAGGAGGAACAGAGGAATGCTAATGGATGCTGGGAAGCCCATATCTTTGGCCACAGGGCTGACTTAAGCCGAGTGACATGGAAACTCCCTGTTTCCATGTCTAGAACTCTTAGTCTTGTCAATTTGCCTCCGTCTTCCCCAAGTTAACTCGGCAACATCTGACCAGCATTGGGTCCTATTTAAGAGTTTGAGCCAGAATGAGTTCTATTTAGAACCCCAGTTCTGCAGAAGACAGCACAGCAGAAAGGTCTCCCCAAAGCCACAGGCATACTCTTGGCAGCCTAGCTTCCTCCATGCCAGAGAGTGAGCTACTCTTCCTCGGGATGCCAGTTTCTTGCCTGAGGCCTCTCCGCTCCCCACCTCTCCTCTCTGATCTGACGTCAAGGCTGCAGGCACTTACTTCCGTAAACACGTCCAGTGCGGCACCAGCGCACTGACCCGACTGCAGGGCGCGGAGCAGGGCACCTTCATCCACAATCCCTCCTCGGGCACAGTTCACAACTCGCACGCCCTTCTTGCACTGGGCAAAGGTGCTGTCATTCAGCAAGCCTGGAAGGAGGAGGAGACGTTGCTTACCGTGATGTCTCCTGACCCCTTCACTTGGCGCAGGTCCCTCAAGCCGCCTCTCCCCAGAGGCCTGTTGCTGCGGCACGGCTACCTCGTTCTCACCTCCGTCTTCCTACACGCTCTCTGGGATCATTGATCCTGTACAGTATGTGGGTGAGACCCAGCAAGTTCTGTACACGAGGGTGCCTCAAGTGGGTCAAATCAGAATCCCATGATGCCTCCACACGGGACACCAGCTACACATGTGTGGAGTTCACTCTGATACCCGTGCTTTTCCAGCTAGCTCACCCCTCCCCCATCCAAGGCAAGGACTTCGACAAAGTGTCACCGTGCTCAGCAGGTCCCAGGCAGGCCCCTCTCTACATCTGCTCGGTGCTGTCTGCAGCAAAGGCACATTGCAGGCCTACCTGTGGTGGAGGGCAGGAGGGGAGTGTGGACAGTGATGAAATCACAGAGAGGCCAGATCTCCTCCAGAGGCAGCTGCTGAACACCAAAGGAGGCTGCGACTTCTGGAGAAATGATGGGGTCATAGCCTACAGTCTGGTCAGTAGAGAGAGAAGGAAGCGGCATGTTTACTATCATCAGTAACTGCACGGTTAGCAGCTAGAACCACGTTCAGCCTAACTGAATTCTCTAGTGTAGTTCTCAGGAAGGACAATACAGTGCCTGCTGTAGGCCAATGAAGGGAGGCTTGCCGAACCAGGAGGGAACACAGCCAGGGCAAAGGAAAGGCTTCTTGTCACCAAGGTCCAACCCCGGAGCAGACACAGGAGCAGCTGCTGTGTGGCAGCACAAAGTGGAGCTCAGAAGCCCTGAGACAGGTGGGCTGGGGATGGAGGACAATCCCGGGAACATGATGCTCCGGGAAACAGAAGACAAGCTGGTAGATGCAGCTGTGGGGCCCATGACTGAGAAGTAAGAGGAGATGGCATTCATGGGCCAGAGAGGATCAGAAAAGCCAGGGTGAGACACTAGACCTGACACACACTCAGGGAGAAGAGGCCCTCCCTTTGATTTTGGTTTAGTGAGGCTTAAAATGCCCCTAGTTTTGAAATAACGTAGACTACACAATGCGCAGAGCTTGGAGTCTCAGCTCATGTTTAAGTACCGGTGACCAATGGCAGTTTTTTTTAACAGGGGCGTGTCAGCCTCATGAAACTGGCTCAGGGTCATCACCGGTCAGTGGTGAGAAATGGGGAGCAGCGGTGGGGGACAGTAGAGACGCTCACAGCTGATCATGGCAATGTTGACCACGGCAGTACTATGCCACATTGACGGTGTTCTGTGCTTTGTTGGTTTTAAAGCCCAAGCTTGCCTTACAGGTGGAATCCTCCTGCCTCAGCCTTTGATGTGCTAGAATTACAGATCTGTGCGACCAGGCCTGGCTGTAAGCCTTTCACCTACCTCATACCCGAGGGGTTAGGTACCATTACTTCTTTGTGCTAGAGGGGAGAGACCAAGGCAGTGACTGCTCAGCAGGCACAGAGCGAAAGCTGCATACTCTGACCATAGGGCCTGCTCTGCTAGCGTCTGTCCTCTTATCTGAGGACAGAAAGATGGGATAAGAGCAGGGGGCAGGTCAGCATAGGGACAATCATGGGGGAGGGCAGCAATGTCCAACACAATGACTCTTTCTGAGCCTTGCGAGGGGGTGGAGGAGCCATGTCCACTCCCCAACCCCTTTGGAGAGAGCAAAGTGGAATGAGATGAAAACTCTGCAGAGACTGTATCAAGTAAAGAGCATTCAAGTCCTAAGAGTCAAGTCCTCAGTTGCATTATCCCCACAAGCAGCCAGGCAGATTCAGGAAGCAGGCATGTGGGGTTTACAGTGACAAAGACCTAACCACTCTTCGCCTCACCTACCCAGAAGGTCTTCCTAGTCCTCATTTCCAAGCTCATTTGCCTGCCATTCTGACTGTAGAGAAAGAAGCACAAAGGCCCTGATGTCCTAGGGGGAGGCATGATAGTCCATTGAGGTGGGTGTGGCCAAGAAATGTGGCTGGAGCCAGGAGTCCTTCCTCAGCTGCTGGCAACCATTTGTCAGCCATTTGTGAGGACCCCAACACAAGAACCATCGGGGGGATGACTTCATCCAATGCAAACTTTTCAAGAAACCCCCCACCTTACCCTTCAAGGATATGTTCATAATGGACTTACTGTGAAAGGGAAAACAGGGAGGAAATGAGGCCTCATTCTTGAGCAGTTGCTACCTCTGCAGAGAGGAATGGCACCGACTCCCTTCCTGTGCTGCTGTTCCTCTACTACCTCGTATATGAATTGCCTGAAGTTAGGAGGCTATACATCCTGCCTTGCAACAATACAAGCTTCGGGCGGTAGGGAAAGTAATGATTAAGTCAACACTTTTCGGCCACATTTTGCATCATTAGCCTTGTTCATAGGCAAAGCCAAGGAGCGCCCTTCCCCCATCCAAGCCACCAGTGAGGGCTAGAGAAACGACACTGCTTCTTGTGGCCCTATAAAGACCACAGCACAGAGAACCAAGGGCTTGTGGGTTTGGAGGGCCTACTCAGACATTACTATTACCCTTGGATGGAGCCTGCTCATTTCTGTACAGAAGGAAATGCTCAGGGGAGAGACAGACCTCACCCTCACAATTTGTCTTTGTCCGATGGTGCCAAAGCTGACTAGAACAATGGCCCCGTTCATCTCTAATCCAGATGGATTTGTCTTCTCCTGTGCATTGAAGAGTGGAAAAGAACACCAGAGAGCACAAAGCCACGCGTGACTGAGGAGCTCAGAAGTCTTTTGCACCCTCAGGGACCAAGGCAGACTTCAGGGCCAACTGCCAGGCCCACTGTCCCTGCTATGCCAGCAGGTGCCTGGGGTTGAGGGGAGGGGGCTGGGAAAGGAGTGAGCAGAAACGCAGAGGCCAGGGGGCACAGGCTCAGCTTCTTCCTCACAAGGAGACAGTATCTCACTCATCTGCAGGCAACTGCCAGGAATGAATCTGGCTGGGAGAAGCCCTGCTCCTGTTTTGTTTGTTTGTTTGTTCGTTTTTTACTAGCGGTAACTAGGGCATAAAGAAGCTGAACTGAGCTGCGGTCCTCACACTAAGAGACAGTGCTGTCGAAAGTGGGGGGTATGTCAGGCCCAAACGCCACATGCCTGCCTGGTTCAATATGTCCTGAAAAGGATCAGATGTCCTATTGTACAGCCGTTGGGGAGCATGCTGGTTGGTTTCTTTTGTTTTTGTTTTTATGAGCCTGATGCCAACCTAGACATATCTGGAAAGAGGGAAGCTTAGTTGAGAAAAATCCCTCCATAAGATTGGCCTTAGGAAGACTGTGGCTCACTGTCTTGATTAATGACTTGCAGAGGACAGTTCACCGTGGGCCGTGAGTGTCACCCCTGGGCAGATGGTCCTGGGTGGTTTCAGAAAGTAGCCTGAGTAAGCCAGTAAGCAGTCCTCCTCCTGTGTTGCTTCTGCATCAGTTCCTGCCTTGAGTTCCTGCTCCCAGGTTCCCACCCTCGCTTCTCTGGATGAAGGATTACAAACTGTTAAATGAAATAAACTCTTTAAAGAGTTGCTTTTGGTGTTTTAGCAGAGCAGTAGAAAAGTAACTAAGACACGATGTTTCCTCCACACTCTCAGAATCACCTGGCTGGTGTTACCGGAGGCAGAGCTGGGAGGCCCATCTTCCAGCCCCAGGGCTCTGCTGGCTCAACGGAGGATGGAGAAACAAGGCGTTCACATTACAGGGCTCTGAGGCCGAGCTGGTCTGGCAACGTCTTGCTTTTTCCTCATAGCTGTGCTTTGAGCACTGGAACAATTTCTACCACAGTAATGGATCTTACACACAAACTCAACAAAAACTTTCCCCTTAAAGCTGCTTAGATGAAGGCTGAATGCCCACCCCCAGCTCTCTCCAAGCCCCCTCTTTCCTCACTCCTGCCTATATCCCATAGCTCCTTTCCTGAACTGTGGGAGGTATGAAGGTCACTGTTCCAGGGTGCCGGGGTAATGAGATGGTTTGGTGGCTAAGGCTGCTTCGCCACCATGGCAGACCACCTGAGTTTGAGCCCCAGCACACATGTGGTGGAGGGACAGAACCAACGCCCACAGGTTGCCCTCTAACTTAAACACACGCCATGACACAGGCGTGCTCACATGCACACACAATTTAAAAAAAAAATGTAAAAAGTTTGAAATAAAATAGCAAAAAATTGAGTCAACATAAATAAATAATTAGTTAGCATACATATATATCAGATTTAGTCAATTAACAACATCTGTTATTTAGCAACAGGTAAACAGGTATTTAGTTCCAGGTAACGCAAGGCCTTATGGCTCAGGTCACTAGCAGGCTGCACACTGACCAGCAGGTGCCACCTCCTTTGTCCTTAAGCGTGTCCCTCTTTAATGCTGCTAAAGTCATATTGCCTTTCTACCGGACACAACACTGTTAGCCACTATTTGTTTGCAAAGGTTTTTGTTGTTGTTGTTTGTTTCAAAAGTCAAATTTCTCTAGTTGCTTTTTGCACTCTCCACACAGACACCAAAATATATTCTCACTAAACTTCTTTAGTGTTGGGATACCCAGCCATTCCATGTCTGCTAGGACTTAATTCTTCTGTGTTCTTGAGGCAGGCTCTCAGTAGGCAGCCCAGGCTAGCCTTGAATTCTTGATCCTTCCTAGGTTTCCCAAATGACAAACATTCTCCACCACACCTAACCTAATTCTAACTACCTCTCCTTGTTTTCTGACATCTTCAAACGATGCGTGGTCCGGGAGAGTGGTGAGGATGGTGGATAAGGCAGAGCTCTGAGCCATCATGAGCTGCTTTCCTCCAGCCTCACAGGGTCCCTCTTTGAACCTTACACCAATCCCTCTAACAGTGCTGGATACACTTTATCCCCCGTGGAAATTATGGAAGAGACCTTTGCTGAACTCTCAAAGTCCATCACTGTTAGGACAGCCAAAAAAAACCCAGTAATCCATACCACAGCATTCCACACTCAAGTTTAAAAACATAGTGGGTCCATTTATAGTTTCACTTCAACACCATATGCGACATTATGTTCTACACAGGCCCACAATCTTCTCTGCAGTCTCAGTATTATAAGCCAAGGCAAAAGCTCAAGGGTCACTCCTTAGATCCGTTCCCTGGGCAATTCAGCCAGGACCTGTTTCAAGACAAAATGATGATGTATTTTGGTGGTATAACAACTTGTGTGAGGCTATGGTTTCAAGGTCCAGTACCCCTAAAACAAATTAAGAGACAAAACTCCCACACTTAAAACAGTGTAAGTTGCAGGACATGGTGGCAGATGCCTATAACACGCCTGTGATCCCAGCACTCCGGGAGGCAGCAGGCAGTTCTCTGTGAGCTCAAGGCCAGCCTGGTCTACAAAGCGAATCCCAGACAGCCAAGGCTACACAGAGAAACCCTGTCTCCATAAATAAATAAATAATGACAACAAAGCCGTGCAGGTAAAGAGATGTTTACAAATCTCCATGCTCTACCAGTTTAATGAGTTTGAAAATGAACTTACTAAGAACTAATCACAGGGCTAGGGAGATAGCTCAGCAGGCACAGGCACCCTCTACCAAGGTGGGCGACCTGAGTTTGGATCCTTGGGACCCATGTGGTGGAAGGAGAGAGCCAAGTCTCACAATCTGTCTGACCTCCACAAGTGTGCATTCTTGTGCACACATGTGCGCGCGCACACACACACACCATAAAAATGTAAAATAATCTCTTAATGTGATCATTGTTTCCTGTCCTAGATAGAGTTATCTTGTTCTCTGTGGCTTCGAGGACACAGACAGGTGCTTGGATGGTGCAGAATCTCTATCCCAGGTTGATAGTCACTAAAGTCCAGGAACATTGCAGGTGGCCAGCTGAGCAATAGAATGCTGAAGGGCTGGGGTTGGGGCATTATAAGCCATGTTGTAGGGGTTGACAAAAATGTTTCAAAACTGAGACAAGCAGAAGTGAAGAAAAAAAAAAAAAAAAAAAAAAGCCTCAAGTAGCCAGGTCTGGTGACACAAGCCTTTAATCCCAGCACTTGGGAGGCAGAGGCAGGTGGATCTTTGTGAGTTTGAGGCCAGCGTGGCCTACAGACTGAGTCCAGGACAGCCAAGGCTACACAGAGAAACCCTGTCTCAAACAACAACAAAACCTCAAGTAAAGCCAACCGTACCCTCAAAGCCCTGGTAGTAATTAAAACATGGCTAGGTATGGCAGCGAATGGCTATAATGCCAGGACTCAGGAGGATTTTAAGTTTGAGCCTAACCTAAACTACACTGTTAGGCTCTATCTTAATTATATTCAAGCATGTTGTATGTGGTGCACTCAAGGACACAGACCAACAATGAGCATGAGCTAGACATCTCTCCAAGACAAACACATGTCTGAGAAGTAGCCTTCAGTTGACACTGATGCTCAGGGCCCCACATGAGCCACATCTGTAGGTGGGGGAGCAGCTGCAGTGCCAGCTGGCTGCGGAGGCTTCCCTCTAACCACAGGGCTCTAGCAGGGTCTGAGTGCTGATGCCACAAGGACAATGGGAATCACAGGGTGATGGAGAGCCTGTGTGTACATCAATGAAATGCTCACCTCAACTGGTTCTATGTTCATGGAATTGCTTAAACATGGATCTTAGCTTTCAGCTAAGAATTATTCATGGGATAAGCCTTGACCTCGGTTCTCCCAGAAGAGGAGGGAGGAAAACGTGTTTTAGTAATTCATAGTATCCCCTTCTCCCTCCACCCGCTGGGAGCCATGCTGAAATTTGCTTTCATCATTGATGGATCCTGCTGGGCTAGGCCCATTCTCTCCTGGGGGAAGGGGGCTAAAATACCTGAGATTTTAGAGAGATGGGAGATTTAAATAAATGTGCTGAAGAGTAGTGTTTCAGGATGAGATGCAGACTTGGACCTGGGGTCTGGAAAACTTCAGCGACTCCTTAGATCCGACTCCTTAGATCCGTTCTCATAAACTCTGGGTGTCACCCTTAACTTCCATTCTAGTGCTAATAAGTTGGGAGGGGTGATGACAGCCAGAGAGACTCTCCATAATAGCTCTTTGTAAGGTTTCCCAGACGTGGAATGATCTGATTACAGTCAAAACAGTTTTCTTAATATTAGCTACAGCCTTCTGGCTACTGTGTGACCATAATCCCTGTAATTCCCTCAACAATCACATTAAACATGGAATGTCCGCTGGCATTCATTTAGCTGCTTTCAGCTACCAGAGTAGCCAGCCTCCAGCCAGCCAGGACTCACCTGGCTCCCAGAGTTGGAAAAGATGGGGTCAAAGTGACTTTTGAGACACATATGGCACTATCTAGTAATTTCTCATATCAGGACATGCAGACAAGAACGTACTTTAAAGAAAGGATCTTGCTGTGTAACCCAAGCTGGCTTTGAACTCATGAGGCACTTGGCAAAGTCTCTAAAATGCTGAGATTCTGGCCATGCGATCCATCTATATCAGCCCACCTGTCAGCACCTTTAATCTTCGCTGGAAAGTTAGGGAAAGAGGGAGGACAGAAAAACAATTGCCTCAGCATTTCCTGGCCGTAGAGCTGTTTGTTTTCTAAATTATCAGAGAGGGGAGACACAGAAGAACAAAAAGGTCCTTGTAGCATGACAAAATGAAGAACATTTGCTGGCTGATACCCAAGTGTTGAGGGACCTGCATGGAGTATTTTCATCTTCTGAGTTCAAATGTCTTCAGTAGAGAGATCAGAGTTCCCTTGCTCCCTGACTTCATTGCTTATTTAATAAGAGGCTCTAGGGATCCCTGAGTGACAAAGCCTTCATCTTCTCCCATGCCTAGCCATCTCTTCCAATACTGCCTCAGAAAGTCTGCCTAAGAAGACACCTTAGGCAGACCTAAGACCTAATGGACACCTCTTACCTTCATTCCAAAGGACTGCATCCGAGTGGCCACCTCTCTTCCAATTCTGCCCAGGCCAAGAATTCCCAGTGTCTTTCCGTTCAGCTCTGTCCCCATGAACTGCAACCAGACAGGCAAAAGGCAAAGATGCTGGAGTCAGGACCAAGAGTGGGGCTTGGCCGCGGAGCCCACATGGGTGGGTCAAGACAACAGCTCACCTTCTTCCGGTCCCATTTGCCATCTTTCATCGAAGCTGTCGCCTGGGGAATCTGCCTGCAAGAACACAGCAGATTCGGTGGGTCACTCTACAGCCCAGGAAGAAGGTCCAAGGACAGCCCAGCACAGCAACCATCTATCATGGTCACTCTCCTGGGAACCACACTCAACATGGGCTTGGGGGTTCAGGTTCATGGCCACTGTGAGGAAGGAGAGGCCGAGACAGCAAGAGCATTGGCAGGTCTTGATTTGGGAACCACAGGACACCTGTCTCTAGCCAGGGGCCTGGGGGAACATACAACGTATCCCCACCACAAAGGTACCAAGGAGAATGATTGGGTTTGTTTTCTCCTGTAAGCACTGGCCAGTCTTCCAGGATTTACAGGGACAAATGCTCCAACCCCAGGAACTGTTTCCTTCTGCATCCAGACCACTCTTGATGACTTCTCTTGTTATCAAGGGGCAGCTGACTGACCTTCCTTCTCACACCTCAAGAGAGCTAAGCTAATCTGAGCATGTGGGTACCACAGCCCAGGTCTGCCCTTCCACTCCGCCTTGAATGAAGCGAACCCTTCCAACACGTCCACCACTGGCTTGCCTACTTCCTGCCCACACTCCAGACTATCCCCCTCTACCGACTCCGTGTACGTCTGACATGCAGTTGTCACTTTTTGTGTGGTTTTGTTTTCTGGATCAAACCGATAAAGTGGCAGTTAGGACAAAGCTAGAACTTAAGGGTATGACGTAGGCTGTGGGTCATGGCCCCAAGACCACCTCTGGGAACAATAATTTGAGAGAGCGTGAGCAAGGGATGCTGGGAGAGGACAGCCTTCTTTAAATTACCTTTTCTTCACTCTCGGGGGCGGGGGGAGAATCAGAAACTCTGTACTGAGGGACACTTCTTACTCTAACAGACAAACCTATCACCGAATTTAAAAGCACAAGTAACTAAGGCTTATACAATCAGTCCTCCCAGGACAGGAGCAGCCCAGGCATCCTGGGAAACCGTGGGGAACCTTCTAGCTCAGACTCTTCTGCTGCCTGTGCTGTGCTCCCTCCCCCTCTGTCCCCCCACTGACCAGTGCACTGTTTGCACAGCCAGGTAGGAATCTTGGGAGAAGTCAGAGCAAAGGTCAACTCCCCCAGCAGGAGGGAAAAGATAGGAAACAGGTAACATTTTAATCACAGCCAGGTTTCAGGGCTCAGGAAAGAGCGCTACCTGCCAGGATGTCAAATGGACTCAGAACAGCTTCAGGCCCCAGTTTACTACAAAGCCTGTATCACATGGTAAATGTCTATGAAGAGGGTCGCATCTGCCGAACAACTGCCCCACTGTTAGGATGCATTCATATTATGTATTTCATGTTCCACCCACTTGGTCACCAGACTGTCCCCCGAGGAGGCCCACACATCCCAGAACCCTGCCAGAACAGCTCCCTCAGATAGGAATCCATAGGTAGGTACATGGATGATGAGCAAGTGTTCATTCCAAGTAGTACAATATAGGCCTAGAACAGTGGTCTTCCTAATACGGAGACCCCTTAGCACGGTTCCTCGTATTGTGGTGACCTCCAACTACAAACCTATTTTTTGTTGTTACTTCACAACTATAATTTTTCTACCGTTTTGAATCGTAATGTAAATATTTCTGGAGAAAGAGGTTTGCCAAAGGGTCCCTACCCACAGTTGAGAACCACTGGCCTAGAAAGACAGTGCCAGGGCCCAGCTAGCCAAACCAGAATCTCTTGAATGAATGAATTCAGAAGGGTTAAAACCGAAAATCTCAATGCTTAGCAAGTTAACAGAGGTACCTGGACACACTGGGTACTTGAAGCTGCGGGGTGCAGAGGGCATCCCCAGAGGTTTAGGGACCAGAGGGCACAGTACCCAGCGGGTAGTGAGTAGGAAGAAGGGGAAGAAGGCGGTGTGTATATTCTGTGAACTTGGTGTTACCGTCCATCTGACCATGAATACTTCCAAGCTGCCTGGGAAGCCACAAGGCATCTGCGTGCTCAGCATTCTGCAGGATTCCAGACTGAGACAGCTGTACCTCTCTTCCAGGTCTGTTTGCTTACAAAGTGGCAGTCACTGACCCACCAGAATACAGCTGGATCTTCTAAGTAGCCAGGGACTTACCTGGCCAGGCACATGATCATCCCACAGGTGAGCTCCGCAGCACTGAGGCTATTTCCGTTGGGGGTGCTAAAGACCCAAAAGAAGAGAGGTCAGCAGGCCCAGACAAACCCAGGATTCTACACTTCCAGCGCCAAGCTTCCATTCTGGCTTCTCTGACACTCTGCTGCCCTACGAGCCAGGCTACCCTGGCTTCTTGTTCCCAGGCAGAGGCCCTCTGTCAGCCAAGCACCTCACGTGATGGAAAGATGGACAGGTGGCCCAGTCCTCTTTCATTTCAGGGTCCACCCATCTACCCTCTCCTCTGATCCTTCTGCAGATGGAGGGTCTGCGCAAAGTCTGTGACATTCAGGTCAGCCCGCTGCTGGGTAACCATTGCAGGATATTAGATCCCATTCTGATCCTAACCCGAGATTATGAACTGTGAAAACCTGTCTTTGGTTTAGTGTGGCTCAGCCCTGGAACACACCTTTAATCCAAGAACTGTTTATTGTAAACAGGTGATTATGGAGTGGTTCGCCCCTAACACACACCTTCAATCCTAGAGCTTTCTGTACACAGGATTTAATAAAGTTAACTGTAGGTCAAGAGGCAGAGCAAGAAACCAGCTGACAGGGATTAACAGAAAGAAGGGACCTTGAGTTGAAGGGTGTTTAAAACAGCATGGAGAAAAAGAAGGAATTCTTTGCTCTTTAGCTTTTAGAACTTTAGCTCCTTGGCCTTCAGCTCTTTAGCTCTAAGCTTTTTCCACCTGGGCTGTCAAGCTGGGTGAGTTAGCATAGCCTTTTCCTCCTGGGCAGTCAGGTGAGCTAGCAAGCTTTCAGCTTTGGGCTTTTGGCCTTTTCCCTTCTAGTAGGAAGGTCAGCTGGATGCTTTCTCTGCCTCTGAACTGCCTCTCTGAGGTTTTCACCCCAGCATCTGGCTCCTGTGTCTTCATTGGTAGAACAGTTGGGATTTTCCTTTTTTGTAACAGATAATCCTAATGAAGACACATCAGCTGGCTTGTAATAGGAATGAAGCTCATGTTTTTATCTCTACCTATTTGGTTTCTCCTTGCTTAACAAATTCGGAATGGAGAGCCCATTCCTCAAAACAACAGCAACAACACACAAAACAACAACAAAAAAGATGCAGGAGAATTCTGGCCCGCCTCATCTTCTGGAAGGGAGAATAATGTTGACAACTCCAAAACCTAAGACACATTTAAAGCTTCTGCTCCCTCTACGGGGTGCGTTCATCTGTGTAAACGAGGGTCACAAAGAGTTATGAGATTCTGTGAGAACAAAAGGACTGTGAGAAACTAGCGCAAGACAACAGAGCTCCTAGCTCTTCTCTAAGCAAGCTGCTAGGGTGTGGGCACTGGTGCGGCTACTCTGTGTCAGGACTACAGTGTAGGTAGGGTGGGTTATCCTTTAACCTTTCCACCATCAGGTATTGACCTCTGTCAGCCATTCTGTTGATTAACCCCTACCCTCGGGGCCGAGGGTGGGGGAGGCTTGGCGGGACTGGAGTCAGCAAAGTGGAGCCGGAAAGGCTATACTACCCAGGTGCCTAACGCAGGACAATGCCGGCCATGATCTTTGCCCCTGGGCTTCTACAAACACAGTGCTAACAGGGACCCTCCCCTCTGGGGCCCAGAGTGCTAGAAGAGAGGAACTGGGATCTACACTTCACAGTGGTGTGGGGAAATGAAGAAAGAGACAAGATGGGAGGTAACTCCACCAAGAAGGCAGTACATGTATCTGTACAGGGTGCAGCACCACTGAGCTAGTGGAAAAACAGGCACAAGCCACACTGAAGCAGGAAACCAGGGAGACCTCACCTACACTGATTCCTTCGCTCAGCTGCAGACGTGTAAGCACTACAGGAGAGGGTGAGCACCATACCCTGAGATTGTAGACAGCCTCAAACCCGGGGCCTAGCTCAGACAGCGCTCTGAAAGGCCTTCCACCGGGCTCTCATTCAAACATTCCATTCCCTCTTCCGTCTCCACACCCACCCTCAGCTACCATGACTTACTTCATGACCAGGATGCCCTTCCTCGTGGCAGCTTCCAGATCCACATTGTCCACGCCTGTACCAGCCCTGCCCACCACCTGGAGCTTCTCCGCTGCGTTGATGACATCAGCAGTGACCTTAGTAGCTGACCGGACAATAAGGCCTTCGCAGTCCTGGGCAGAGGAAGAAAATACCTGGGTTTATACAGCGCTTCTGTAATATACCCGAGGCCTCTGGTGTACTCCTGGTGAGCAAGAATGCCCACTTACGGCCATCTCTGGCTTCTTTGCACACTGCAGGGTAATGTGGACTAGAACCTGCACCGATTTTACTTGGCGTTGAGACAAGTTACAAGATACAAGTGCCTTGCCAGCACATTCCAGCTACAGCATCAGCCTGCTGGCTCTAAGCATCTGACTCATCTTTCCCTAGATGGTACCCCAATAAGTACCTGTAGACAAGGAATAACCCATCGTGACTGCACCCTCAGCGTGACCGGAGATAGGTCCTCGTCAGCTCTGCGTGTGCTAACACTCCTGTACGCTGCCTTGCCCCACAGTCAATTCCAAAGAGAGAAAGAACAGCAACATCTGTTCTTCAGTCTGGCCTGGGTTCAACTCTGAGCTGCACTGCTCAGCAGAGAGGAGTGTGGGTTCTAGCCTCAGGTGAGACGGGAAGAAGACAGGCAGGTAGAGCACCATCCACAGCACTTCCTCCCCTGGACACCCAGCTGCCCAGGAGCAGAGGTGGAATGCAGTTCCGTGGGCCAGATACACGGAAGGGCACCTGTAAATGCTGGCTGGCTGAATGAGTAAGCAGAAGGAATGGAAGGCATGTCTGCAAAAAGGAAAATGGTTCCCGAGACAAGAACCTGCAGGAAGGGGAGAGCCGAGAGCCTAAGTCTGTGGCTGTTGCTCAGAGGTTCACACTAAACATTCATGAGAAAATTTAGATCATGAATTCAACATGACTGCTACACTTGGGCCAAGGTGAACCCCCCCCCCCCGCCTGGGGTCATTCAGAATCGTGCCCTATGTACTATTTTTTCCCCAGTAAGGACATTCTTTGCCCAAACAGAATGGGAATCTGTAAGAGAGCTAGCAGGTGAACAAGTCTGCACTCTGTCCTGTGTGGATGGCCTCAGGCCAGCACAGTATGTTATAAAGGCACTAAGCAACTGGTTATAGGGGCCCAAGGGAGGAAGATCATGACTTCTAATTAATGTAGAAGATAATGCTTCCAGTTAATTAGTAAATAAAAATCGATCACACAAACAACATAATATCAATTTTTTTAAAAAAGCACCAAGAATAAAAAAAGCATCCTGCCCTAGAAGCCCAAGTTCAGGCAGGTCACATTATCACCTCATTCCTTATCCCTAATCTCCATAGGTAAGGTTGTTAAGAGGGTTGGAGAGATGGCTCCTTGCACTGTTTCCCCATTGAAGCTCTCAGCAGGGTCCCAAGAAGACCTTCCACCTCTCCCAAGTTGTGGATTCTGAAGACAGAGAAAGGCCCCTAGAGCGAGGCCCATGCTGCATTTCCTGTGCACAAGCCTGGAAGGGAGGAGCAAGAGCCATTTTCTCTCTGCTGGGGAAAGAGAAGTGAAGGAAGCTTGGTGCTGCTCGGAGGTTTGGGCTTGGAGGAGGGACGGCTTAAATGCTGGAAAGGCTGACGCACAAGAACAGCTGTAAAATCAACCCAGAGAGAGTTCAAGGCCAGTCCAGGCAGCAAGACACCCTACCTTAAACAAAAGAAGAGTCCAGCTGTGGTGGCGCACGCCTTTGATCCCAGCACTCGCGAGGGAGGCAGAGGCAGGCAGATGGATCTCTGTGAGTTCCTGAGGACAGCCTGCTCTACAGAGTGATTCCTGGACAGCCAGGGCTACATAGAGAAACCCTATTGACAAAACAAACAAAAACCAAAACCAAGACTGGTTCTAGGATTACTTCTCCGTTACTGAGGCTGTTCCTGCAGGCAGATTCCAAGAAATGTTCACACGTATTCCAAGCTCATTTTGCAAATGAGAAACCCATACCCACCCGTGTGCTCCCCTAACAAGCCAGTCAGCTCTGCACATGACCCCACCTCAGGCACCAGCTCTTTTCGTTCTTCTTCAGGCTGGGTCACTGGTAGGTATGATGACCAAGAAGCCATCCAGACTCTACAGTTCAGTCTACCAACATTTGTCCTAGTGGTACAGCTAACAGCAGCTTGCACCAAGAGGTGAACTAAAGACATTTAAAATAAAAGCACTAGAGAAAAGTGTATATCGGGTCTTCTTAAGATCTTAGAATGACAAAGATTTTTTTTTTAATAAGAAAGACACATGTCCCAGAAACTGTAAGAAAATGTCTATATTTTACATTTAAATCTCTACATGAAAAAAAAAAGGTCTTAAGAAAAGAATAAAAGGTCTTAATATGGGAAAAAAATCCCATACAGCACCCCAAATGACCACTTGTCTTCAAAGAAAAACACTCAATAAAGCATGCATGAAAAGTCTAGGTCAGCAATGTACAGCAATGCGCAGAGACCACTGACACTGTGTAGAGGCAGCAGCCTGGATTCGGGGCTCACTATCAAAAGTCCTGCATGTGACAGCCTGACGATCGATCGCTGCAAAGTTGAGACCCGCCTGGGCTACAGTGTGAATTCCTGACTCTAAAAGAAAAAAACAAGGGTTGGTGAGATGGCTCAGCTGCGGGGAAAAAAAAAAAAGCTTCTTGCACAATCCTGGGATCCTGCACCCAGGATCCCTTGGTGGAAGGCTGACATCTGAATGCTGTCCCCTCCCTCTGCACACCCAGTCTCTCACACACAGGGAGACAAGGAAAGAGGGAACCATTATCTCATCTCTGACCCAAAGCCCAGGCCCTGCTCTGTTCCAGGTAACTTGCCCAGTCATTCCTCTGAAGCCCAAGGTTGTCCAGGATTGAGAGACTCCCCGCAAAGGAAACAGCAGCTGCCGAGGGTGCAGGGAACAACTGCCTGATTTCCCTGACAGCCAGTAAGCGCTACAACAGCTCTGCTTTCTCTCTGGCTGGGTCTGCTCTGTGGGGCCATCACCGTGGAACTGTACTTTCCACCCATCAGCCCCAGCCAGCTTTTTGGCTCCGACGAACCTTTAGTTTCTCCAGTAAGACTGGCACAGACATGCATCCAAAGCTGGTATGTCCCAAGGGCCCAGAACTTACATGAAAGCCAACACTGGTTTGCTAGCTTCCAATGGCATCAACTACAAGCCAGTTCCTCAGCTTGTAAATTCTTAGTACAAACTTAGAGAAGCTACCAGCCAACCCACCCTGTACTGAGCTCTCAGACCCCTGCACTCCTAAATACCATCTGTCTCTTTGTAGGGCCACAGCTAATCCCTCAAAGACTCTTCTACGATGCTCCTCCCCTCCTCTTCTTACACAGGTCACTGAACAACCCAAATGTTCACACCTAACAAAACTCCTAGTGTAGTGCTGGGATTAGAACCATCTCTTTTAGGCATGACGCATACCTGTAATCCCAGGCCTCTATCCCAGTACTCCCAACACTAGGAAAGAGGCAGAGTTTAAGTTCAGAACTCTCAAAATCGAGTCCTCCAAGCCCCCACCCCAGTGCTCGCCTCTTCCTTTCCGGCACTCACCAAGTGGGAATGCAAGGCACCTTAATACAAGCACCTCCACAGCTCTTTGCCTGCAATTTCATCTGGAATGCACACTTTCCACATTTGCCTACGGATTTCGCCACCTCCTCTCCTAGGCTTGAGAGCTAGGAAACACGGGGCCATTGATCTGCTTGATTTATGGCTGTTCCAGACAAACGATGCTAACTCAGCGGAAACCTATCCCCACTCCTGTTCAAGTTCACACATGCTTCTTTTCCCAAGAGGACAGGCCTGGCCTTGTGGGTAATTCTATTATTGCTACCACTTAGCGCAAAGGATACATGACTGAAGCTCTCCAGGGGATTCCCCTGTTGTAGGGACTGCAGATATGTGCCCTGGCTGGCCTGGAACTCACAGAGATCCTCCAGTTCAGAGAGTGCTGGGATTAAAGGCGTGAGGCAACACCCTCTGCCTCCCTTTCTTTTCTTTTTTTTTTTAAGATGGTCTTGAAATGTGGCAATCTTGATGTTCCAGCTTCCCCAAGTGGTAGGGATCATACAGGCGTTCTTCGTCACAGCCAGAGCACACCGTGTTTCTCTGAATCTCAACAACAACAAAAATCCATTTGTGAAGGACCTAGCTGTGTGCGTGGGCCGGACACACAAATACATACAGAGAACCTATCTCAAATAATAATGGCAATGATAATGAAAGAAAAAGAAGACAACCTCTCATCTGTGTCTTTGTGCTCATATACATGTGCCCTCACATACATCCACTCCAGCAAACTGAAACCCCACAGATGAAATAAGACACCACCAGCACGGCTGTGTCTCTGCTGTTCGCTATAATGCGATGGTGACTTATGAAACTCAGTGGCCCAGTGTGCTGGGACTTGATGATTGGTAGTCTGTCACCAGGGGAGAGAGTGAATGCGAACATCTCTTTCTTGGGCCGAGAGCAAACAGCCTGCCCAGAATATGAAGCAGCAGAGAGGCCAGTTCCCGCAAGGAGGCCAACCCTTGCTTCTTACTGCAAAGATTAAAGCGGGGAGAGGGCGGAAGACACTAGCAGATCACTCTCAGAAGGAGATAAAAAATGAGGCAGGAGGGTGGAAACAAGGTTATCTAAGATTAGTTAATTGTCATTCTGAACTGGTATTTTGCCAAGGCAGACTGAAGAGCTCTCCACGAGACAGCCAGTCTGGGCGGCGGCACCCACCTCTTTTTTTCTGCCAAGTGTCTCCATTGCTTGAAAGCATCCTGCATTTTTAGCACCAGGCTCCCCTCCCTTCCCGCCCCACCTACTCCTCACACTCCCTATTCCTGCCCCTTTATTGGACATAACAGTTCTCGCTGGCCCTGGAAAGCAGCAAAGCCCTCCAGCTGCAGCCCCTGGGGCTCTGAAAGCCACTTCTCAGCCTCCCAGGTCACTCTAAGAGTTACATCCTGAGCCCCAACCATAAAGACCACCACAACAATCCCTTCTCTGTACTTTCCATTCCAGCAGGCTGTTTGTTGGCTCAGAACTGTCACCTGACCAGCTGTCTCAGTGATGGGCCCTGTCCAAGTAACCTACAATTTTTCTCTTCCTTCCTTTTCTTCCTTTGCTTTCCAGATAGGGTCTCATTCTTTAGCCCAGGCTAGCCTCGAACTCACCGAGACTCCTCTGACTCAGTCTCCTTAGTGCTAGGCATGAGCCAGCCTTTTCCAGACACATGTTCTCTGTATAGCCTTGGCTGACTTGGAAGCTGCTTTGTAGACCAGGCTGGTCTCCAGCTCACAGAGATCCACCTGCCTTTGCCTCCTGAGCGCTTGGATTTAAAGGCATGCGCCACCCCCACCTGACTCCCACAAGCTTCTCAAAGACAGGGTCTAGAAAAAGTGCGAATAAGAGCTGCTGAGCACACGGATATCAGCTCCACAGAGGAAGGCGTTGGGGGCGGGGCGGGGTCTTTGATGAAAAAGACAAGCGAGCTCAGTTTCCAGAGCAAGCCCCATTGGTCTCTGCGGTTTAAGGCCTCTCAGGCTGCGCAACAGGAGCTGTACATTCGCTCTGGCTGCAGGCCCTCGGCCGAGCACGTGGAACTTGGGGGTGGGGCAGGACAGCTGCGAGCGACAGCAGACCTGGATGGATCCGTACTACCCGCAGGAAGGGCAGGAACTGGAGTGAAGCGCTCGCAAAGGAGAAATCCTCTAAACCGGAGCAAAGTCACCCAGTTTAGCAAAACCTTTTCAAATAAGGGCAGGACTTGTAAGTTTTCTAACCACAAGAGGTTGGCTCCGAACACTTGGTAGAAGTAAGCTTTCCGCATCTGATGTAGTGAAGTCGATCCCGCACGGCGACGAGCACAATGGTGGAGGCCGACGGCCGCGTGGGCGGCGCGGGGCTCTGGCTGCACGCCCCCCGGCCCGCCCCGAATCCCACGAACCGTCCCCGGAGGCCCAGCGCCCAGGAAAGCGCGCCAAGGTCTTGCATCAGACAAAAGGCGGTGCGAGATCGCTGCCACAGATGCCACGGGACCGAGCCTCCTGCCCCCACACCAGCGGCTAGCACAGGGTGGGGATGGGTCCTCCGTGCACGTGTCTTTGTGTGCAGCACCCCGGGCCGGGAGCCCCCAGCCTGGGCCGCCGGGCGCGAAAGCTCCGGAGAGGTTCCGGCATCCCGCAGTACCAGATGAGGCAGCCGCACTTTGCAGCGCCGGCAAGAAACACGCGGTTGCAAACAGCACGCAAAGTTTGCATCCCGGAGCTCCGGGCCGTGCGTTCCTCTCCGCCTTTCCTCCCTCCCCCTGATGGTCCCCAATCTCGGTGAGGCCCCGGGACCAACTGATAAGACAGGGAGGGCAGTCCTGGCAGCCGTGAAGCCGGCCGGTTTGGCCACAGAGATGCCCAGTGACTTTGCTCGTCTCCGGGTCGCCTTACCTGCAGCTCGGCGATCAGCTCCTCCTTACTCAAGTTCTGCTTCTCCACCACCTGCAGCCCTCCATCTTGCAGGATCTTCCGGCAGCAGGGGTCCAGGCTGTCACTGATGAGCACTTTGCGCAGGCTCGCGAATGCCATCGCTGGAGCGGGCCTGAGGATCGGTTGCTCCGGGTGGGCAGGAAGCCGCAGGAAGGGCTGACTCCGCTCACTGCGCAGGGTTCTTGATCTCCCGCTCCCCCTTCATCCTCCCCCCTCGCGCCAATGGTCTCCTTCCGATTGGTCAGAAACACTTAAACTCTGCCGACTCCGCCCCCCAGGGCAGAGCCGCCCACACTTTTTTTTTTTTCCTGCCTTGACGGATTTATCTAGCAGCGAAGCTCTTACCTACACCTGGTGAGCTTTAACACGCACGGTTTACGCCGACTAGCTGATTCATGTCTGAAATAAACGGAGAAAGACGGGCTCTCCGCGAGAGAACTAAATCTCATAGTGACTTCTTTCCTCTTAAGGACCGGTTTATTGGGCTGGGTATGTGTAGTTCCTAGTTGAATACAATTAGCGCTGCAAAGGCCACAGTTCGATTCCCAGCAACTCCCTCTCTCTCTCTCTCTCTCTCTCTCTCTCTCTCTCTCTCTCTCTCTCTCTCTCTCCTTCGATTCAGCCTTGAGCCGTCTTTTTAAACATCTCTTAAAAAGTTTTACACATAAAAGATAACCCTATATATCTGGTAGCCTAACACTATAGTGCAAGCACAGAGAGGGTGCAATATATATAAACTATATACTTTTAAGTAATTAAAAGCAAGTGTGAAGGCCAGGCATGGTGACTCACCTTTTCAATCCAAACCCTGGAGGGGCAGAGGCAGGCGGATCTCTGAGTTCGAGGTTAGCCCAGTTTACAAGGCAGATTCCGGGACAGCCTGGGCTCCACAGAGAACCCCCCAAAAAACAAACAAACAAAACCAAAACAAAACCAAAAAAAAAAAAAAAGCAAAACCGCTCAAAAACAAATAAAACAAAACAAAAGAAAAAAATCAAGGTGGAACTTATCGAGAGTCTGTCAGCTCCGAATCGGTGATGGAATGAGAAATAATTACTTTACTTGGTAATAATCCACTTCCTTCCTTTCTGTGCTGGGAGGCTGAACACGGGCGGGAGGGGGGTTCCCTCACAGAGTCCCTGCCAGTTAGCTCCACCCTAGCCCCAGTTTATAATTTTTAAATTATACCTTTTTTTTGTGTCCTTGGAGTCTGTGTTTTACTCATCGTCTGTCTTACACATCCCAAGTGTTAATCCAACTACCTAGCACCCAGGAGATGGCTTGGTAAGTTAACTTTTGGACAAAACAGCTCCTGAACCCTTACAACATGAAATTGCTCTGCTCGGCACTCTTGGCGGAGGACAGAGACCTGCCCTCTTCTGGTTTTGTATTTTTTATTATCATAAATAATTATACAAATAATGTGTTTCATTATGGCATTTCCATACACAGGTGTAATGTACTTTGGATATATTTGTACTCTCTGGTCTTTTTTTTATTTTTTTGTTTTGTTTTGTTTTGTTTGGAGACAGGGTTTCTCCGTGTAGCCTTGGCTGTCCTGAACTCACTTTGTAGACTAGGCTGGCCTTGAACTCACAGGGAATACTCTCTGGCCTTAATGAAATAGGATATGATGTGAAATATGAACAGTTTATGTTACTCAAAACTCCGTGAGACAATCTGGACTAAAAACAGGAGCCGCCATGCTCTGCAAAAATCAGTGTGACCCAGGTTAACCTTGAACTGGCTATGTACCCTATGACCTTCTATCTCGCCTTTCCAGTTCTTGAATTGCAGGTGAATGCCACCACATCCAGTTTATCTGGAGCTAAGGATTGAACCCAGGTCTTTGTGCATGGCAGCCAAGCACTCCGTCACCTCGAACACAACGTACTTTGAAGAAGGTTCTAAGTCACACAGGAAAAACAAACCAAAACAAAAAACACTTAACAAAGTTGAGCTGGAGATGTAGGTCAGCTGGAAGAATTCGGGCTTAGCATGTGCCACCACCGCCTGGCTACAGAACCAGTTTTTACACAGCTCTGGGAGTCAGATCTAGGGCTTTGGGTATGCTAACTAAGCATTCTATCCACTGAGCTACAACCTAGCCTAAAACTCCAAGAGAGTCTACCCTCAACACAGCTACGGGTGATTCCAATGAGAGACCAGAGACCAGGTTAGGAAAGGCAAGAGCTCCTTATGCCTTGCCCTGGGAAAGAGTTTAAACTTAAATCTAGACACAGTACATGCCAGGGATGAGGCAAGAGGATCTCTTAAGCCCAGGAGTTCCAGATCAGCCTGGGGTTGGAGCTAGGGAAGGGGGAAAAGAGGTCTTATTGTTTATAAACAAAGTACAAGAGTGGATAGTGGTTTTATCCTTTAGAAGTTAGATGATTTTTTTTTTAAAGAAAGGATTAAATCTGTTGGGTAAGCTGAGCCATGAATATGGTATATAAATAAGATCCCTTACTACTATAATCCACACTCTTAAAGTCAAATGTTAAGTTCCTTAACATCAAATGCAAGTAAGAGTATCTTTTTCAAAACTTCGTCCTCGTAATCCCTCTGCAGGTGGTATTATCACCATACAGGAACCTTGACCTTCTTGGAAGAATTGGGGAAGTGGTTCTGCCCTTTTCTCTAGACTTTCACTCATTTCTCTCCTCTGGCCCCAGCCCCTTGGGAAGAGAGATTACGTTAGCAGCTACAGCTGGCCTGCCCTGTTGCCCATGGCTCCCCAGATAAGAGTAACAGGGCTAAGGCAGATAGAAGGAGCCCAGATGTGACCTCCAAGCCTCCATGGTGAGAAATAAAGCAGGCAGTTTGAAGGGTTAGACTATAAATGATCCAGGTGGGTTTGATTTCAAGCTTCTCAAATAAAGAAGAAATTGGCTCTAAAAATGCCTCTCCACGCTTTCTTTGTAATGTGAAACTGATAACACGCAAGTGTTTGCTGTGGGGGTGAGATAAGACAGCATGGGAATTAATGTACCGTGTAGGGCTTCACTCTCAGTCAGTCAGTTGGTAAGTCAGTGTGTGTTTGTTTAGACACTGCTGAGAATGCTGGAAATGAAACTTTAATTGGAAAAAAAAAAAAAATCTCATGCCAAACCGGCATAGCGGTTTGTGATCTTGGCACTTGGGAGGTAGGCACAGGAAGATCAGGGCCAAGTCAAAATTGAACCAGGCTGGGCTGGACCACAAGAGAGCTTGTCTCAAAACATAGTGAAACAAGAGACGACTTCCTGTTTTCTGTGAGCCCTTGGGCTGGGGTTGGCAGCCGTGGTGAAGATCATTGACCTTTTGGGAGGAGGCCTCATGGATGTGCCTAGGACCTGCCTTACAACCTGGCTCCGGGTCAGGCAGAGGAGCCCCTCACAGTGAACTCTGAAGCTTAGCCTGGGTGACAGTGACCCCACCTCTTTCACTGAATAGACTTTTCTGAGTTCCTTTACATTTTAGCTGGCTGTAGTATCAGGGTTCATAAATACTCTCCCCCCAGCTAGTCTCACTGAAAATTCAATCATGTAAGATCCGATTGCTATTGGCCACGTTCCAGTATTTGCAATTTTTTCTTTTCTTTTCTTTTCTTTTTTTTTTTTAAGACATGGTTTCTCTATATAGCTTTGTCTGTCCTGGAAGTCGCTGTGTAACCCAGACTAGCCTTGGACTCGTAGAGATCCGCCACTGTTGCCAACCAAGCGCTGGGATTAAAGCTGTATGCCACAACACCCAGCTCCTGCTATATTCAAAGAAGCTTTCCAGTTAGCTGACTGAGGAAAAGGAGAAAGGAGAAAGATGTGTTACTCTAACAGATTGGTGGGACAGGGCTGTCCACTGTCTCCTGACCTCAGGAGGGTCACCTGGGCCACCTCACCGAGTCTGGCTCCTTTCTGTTCTGCAGGGGATATAAGCTGTAAAGTCTGAAGGGTGTGGCAGCCTTACAACACGATACCCTGGCTGTGGGGGATTTTGCTGCCACTCGGAGGTGAGACTCATGCCTGCTGCCATCATATTTTGCCACTTTCTGTGGGATCCTTTTACGTGAAGAACTTGCCATGCTGTCCATATTTATGAACGCTCTGGGTGGGATCGAAGGTTCCCTTAGATTTTAACCTGAAGATACTTTTAAATAAAGTTTTGCAATTTCAAGGGAGGGGCTTCTTCTTGAAGTTTATATTCTGTTTGAAGAAAATAAAATAAAAATAATAGCCTCTGTGAATGATAAATATAGTGAAGAATATAAAGCTGAGTGAAAAAGCCATATTTAATCCCAGCACTGAGGGGAGGGGGACAGGGGCAGGTAGATCTCTGTGAGTTCAAGGCCAGCCTGGTCTACTGGTCAGAGTGAGTCTAGGACAGCCAAGGCTACGCAGAGAAACTCTGTCTCAAAAACGAAACAAAACAAAACAAAAAGAATCTGAGTGATATGTGGGGAAGGACAGGGAACACGTGTTGCCTTTAGACTTTATGTTCAGGAAAGGGCTTCCTGAGAAGATGGTATTTTGGCTGAGACTGATAAGAAGTTAGTTACATAAAGAACTAAGGGGGAAGGGATACAGCTCAGTGATAGCGTCTGCAGTGTCACAGCAGCCTGAGAGGTCCCCTTCCTTCCCACTTAGGGACCTCCACTTGAGGCAGCGGTTCTCAACCTTTCTAATGCTGCCGCCCTCCTGCTCCTCGTGTTGTGTTGACCTCAGCCGTAAAATTATGTCGTGGCTACTCTCATAAGTATAGTTTGGATACTGCTATGAATCGTAATGTAAATATCTGGTATCCAGGATCTCTGCTATGTGACCCCAAGGCTGAGAAGCACTGACTGAAGGAAACCTGAGTTATTGACTATGCTGCAGAAAAGAACGTAGGAGAAAGTTAAGGTGAGGCAAAGTTTATTAAGACCAGGGAGAGTGCATGCTTGAGCATAGGCGTGATGAGGGCGTGAGGTGAGGATTGTGGTCCGTTATAGCGACCACGAGTACATGCCTAACATAGGGTTGTGGGCTTCTCCGAAGAATAGCACAGAGGAGCCTTTACAATGGTCATGTACTTATAATTCCGTGGCTCTCTAAATTAAAACTCTCAAGGGAAGCAGTTTACACCAAGGTTTAAAGGGAAATCTGAGCAAAGGCTGCAGAGACGGCTTAGAGTTGAGAGCACTCACGCAATTCCTGGAGATTCAGGTTTGATTCCCAGCAACCATA